TTATACTATTGCACCATCCATGTGTGAGACATTAACAGATGAAATGGATAAAGTGCAACCCTCCAGAATATTGTTAGACTACAACTTCCATCAGTTGTAGATTGCATAGTCCATGGGGAAATGTGATAGGAGTTCTACCCATATTTAGAGGGCTGCACTTGGTCAACCCATGTTTTACGAGTCCCTTGGTTGTGCAGCTCATAAGTAAGGGTTAGTATGTGATGATACCCAGTGTTGTGTAGTGGATAAGGTGATGGGCTAAGACTCAGAAGTCCTGGTTTCAAATGCCTGGTCAGCCATGGAAGCTCAGTGGAGGTGTGGAACTGTTAAAAGCAATCATTAAATATCTCCCTTACCTTGAAAGCTCTATTAGGATTGCTAAATCCATTCCAACTTGATGGAACACAACAACCAGTATGTGATAGAGTCTTTGGGACAAGAAAATCTAGATGTGTTACTGTATGTGACCAGCAGTTCCTTCTCAGCATTAACCACTGTATTTATTCATATTTTGTAAAGTATTTATTATTGTTTTTAATTATAAGCTGCATTTCAGCCTGAAGGTTCTCGGGCTACCAGATAAAACTAAGTACGTACATGTTAATATAAAATACAGGAGGGGCCTGTGATAAAATGTTGCGCTATGGTATTGCTGTTCAGGATTCTTGCCATGCCCTTCCACATAAACCCCCAGTTTGCCATTCTGGTCAGCATTTTGTGGCCCCAGGTATGTTGAGTTCTCAGTGGGCTTTGGGAAGGTGGTCCCCCTGTGATAGTATTTCCTTTTGTGTTGCTAAAGGAGATTTTTTTAAAAAAAGCTTCAGACCAGGTTTCCCTGAGATATGTAGCCAGTTTAGCCCCTTAAGCATTAGCACTCAGTCTTGCACGTCAGAAAGAGTAGCAACCTGCCTTTGTGTATTTGAAAAAAAAATCTGAAGTCATTTCTACAGTTTTCAGTATTAATATTTAAACCAGTGCATGCTGTTCAGCTTTTAGCAACAGGACGAGACAAATAAAATCTCTCTTTAAAAAAAGTAGAAAGCAATCAATCTGTTCTTTTCAAAGTTTCCAAAAATATAATTGAAAACAATGGATAGGTGATGTTTTTCAGAAAGGAGGCATTTAAGTCCAAACGTAGACTGAATCTGATGTTTTGATGGCTGTTTGGTGCTGTGCATTGGACCTATTGAATATTTCCGAGTAGTTGTTAAAAATTGATTTGGTTCTGAAATCTTTGAGTGAAACATGGCTGCTGTTGAATCGTTCAGAGAGCTAAACCTTGGCAGTTCACTTTAGCCTAAGACATAGAGCAAGTTAGTTAATGGAGTTACTGTTTTAATTGTTTAATTGAGTCTTTAAACTGCCAGTTACTTTGAATAACAAAACAATTAGAAGCTTCATACAAAGAACATGTTGATCAATATTGCTGCCTGTACCAGCACAGACACTCCATTTTGAAATTAAATTCAAAAATCATATCCTGCTCTAAAGGTGGATGATGTGGACTGAAAGCTAGATATGAGCTTGCTCCCCAAACCAGCATCCTTCTGTTGCAATTCCTTTATTGGAATACAGTTCCCAGAATTAGCTACCCCTCAGCGACCAGAGGGATTCTGGGAATTGTATTCTCAGGTTCTGCCATCTGATGTCTTCACAGCATAAGGAAGAACTGTTTTCTAAACTGCAAATCCTGTTGCCAGAAATAGTGGCATCAGGGGTGGGGGTGGATGCTTACATTTAAATGCCTACTGTCTCTGCCTTCATTTCTCCACCTTTCTTATTTATACTGAAAGGAGAGGGAACAGCCTTTCGCAATTATGAGGACAAGGACATGCTTTTTCTTTTTTGCAAATGCAAAATGCTTTAAAGTGGGGATCAGTTTATTCCAGTTGGAAGAATTCTCTGCTTAGGCTGCAGTTAGAAATATACTTATTGGCTGAAATCTTGTAGCAGAAATTAAGAATGCATAAGGTTGATCTTGTCATAAACATGGCACTTGTCGGTAGATTAAAATTTTCCAGTTTACCTCCCTGCCTTCCACAGGGTCGCAAGGCTCCCTTGGAGTTCTTTTTATCAAAGGGAAGCTACTAGAGGCCACCAGCTAGGCGGGGGTTGTTTTTAATATGAAGCTCAAACGTCACTGCCACCAGTAAAAATTATCCCCAACAGCAGCAATTTTTAGAAATTAAAGACTCTGCCCCCCCCCCTTGTGCCATGTCCACTAGTGTTTTAATTTCTTAAAAACTGCCATGGCCAATGAATTCATCAGCCTTACATGGCATAAGTCCAGCTACTGGATTTTATCCAGTATATATGTTTATAACTGCAATTTAGGGTAATGGGGGGACAGGGTCCAAAGGGTAGTCAGACATGCCCATAGCCCTTTGTGGCTACTTGGGCAATATCTGTGGGCCAAACTGGGCCCATGGGCTATGTATAGTACTTGAGAGATTTGAAATACCTCAGTTTGCTATTTACATGACTGATTTGGCTTCAGCTGGCGAATTATTGGCATGTTACCACCCTAACACTATGGATTACAGTGGTGCCTTGCATAACGGGCGCACCGTTTAATGATGAATCCGCATACCGATGCGGATTTTGCGATCACTAATGCGATCGCATACCGATGTTTCTTCGCATTGCGAGGGGGAACAGCTGTTCAGCGGTGGCCGCCGAACACCCAAAATGGCCACCGGAACATCCAAAATGGCCACCAGAACCACCCAAAATGGCCACTGGAACACCCAAAATGGCCGCCGGAACATGGGGAAACATCGCAGAATGGTGAGTTTTGGGCCCATTGGGTTTTTCTGATCCGTATAGCGATGTTTTCCCATAGTGAAGGTTAATCCGGAATGGATTAACCTCGCTTTGCGGGGCACCACTGTACTTGGAATTTTCCCAGGTATTTCTTGAATTCACGGCAACAGTTTGATTTCAAGACTGAAATTCTGATTTGTCCTTCATTAGGAAATAGTTCATCAGACTTCTTCAACTTGTAGCTGAAGCATATTTTTCAGAAGCATAGGGGAAAAGATTGTTGCTTCATCTTTTGAAATCACCTTCCATCATCATCATACTGATTTGCAGATAACTGCTAACCTTAGAAGAGGTTGCCTCAGAGAAACCCGTAAAGGAGCATTTCAAAAAGTGGGCTTCTTTCCCCTTTTCTATTTAGGCCACAGGTATATGTAGGCAGAAAGGGTGTTGGGGCTTTTTATTTACTAATAACTCTTGCAAATACATTTGCAAGGCTGTCTGAATGAGAGCTTGCATTCCTGGCAAGCGAATCTGATTATTTTCAGGTAAAATCAATGCTGGCACATCATTTGCATCTGGACTGTCTCTGAATACTGATTGCATTTGAAGCTTCTCCTTTGCAAAAGGCCACAGACCAGTACAGCTACCTCTCTAGGAATTCTTCAGATAAACTCTATGGATAATTCCACATTCCTGTGCTCATGAAAAAGCATGAACGTTGTTCCCTTCTTGAGTGAGTGGTGGCTTTTGTGTCAGATTCTTAGCTCACTGCCTTGTGTGAAGTAATGTAATATCTCATTCCTTCCTTATCTTCACAAAGGTGTCTAGTTGATGGTTTCACTTCAAGGAGTGCTAGAGGCAAAACTGCTGAGGGAGGAAGTTGGGCTATCAAAATTCCATTCAGAAGAGAAGGAAAAAGAACAGTTGTTCATAGCCATTTCTGTACTATAAACAGGATAGTGTTTATATCTGTTTTGTGTACCATAAAAGGGAAAGGGGGCATATGTAGGGGAAGGATATGATCCTAGGAAGGCCTTCTACTTGTAGCCACCACATGATTTACCTGTTATAGCAACCATGTGGGAGCTGGTTTTGGCTGTAATGCAGTTTAGAATTACAAGCCTGTCTCACTAGATTGTTGATTCCAGTAAAGTAACAGTTGCATGGTGACGGGTACTTCTCCCATGCCCTGCTGGGTCCTTTAAGTTTTATAGTGTTAGCACAGGATGAACTCAACCAAGTGGGTGCAAGCCACTTCCATAATATGCAAAGGGTACCAGCGCACTTGAAGCTTAACCTTGACTAACTAAACAGGATGGCCATGCTGGCAAGGATCAGTCAAGAGGTGGTGGGCCTCGAATAGCCAAAAGTTCTATTGTTTGTGAAATTATGCCTTTTTAGGCCATAAAAGGCTCATATTCATTACAGCTAGTACTGTATTAATTCCTTTTTTGAAATGCTGGAGAATTGCTGCCAGTCAGTGTTGGCCCTATCAGGCTAGATAGACTCAAATGTTTGGCAGCTTCCTTTATTCGGAGTGAAGAGAATATGTTTCTTTAATCCAGTACCGCCAACATTAAAACCACAATTGTTGAGAATAGACCATACCACAGTGACAGAATTCTAGCTCTGAGCACAGAAGGCTGCAAGTTCAGTCCCTCAGATTTTGTCTTAAGTAGATGGGAAAGACTTTTGCCCAGGAAAACCTGAAAAGTTGCTACCAGGCAGAAGAGACAGTGCAGTGTAAGTCAGTGGTTCCCAACCTTGGGTTCCCAGATGTTCTTGGACTACAACTCCCAGAAATCCTGGTCAGCACAGCTTGTGGTGAAGGGCTCTGGGAGCTTTTGTTCAAGAACATCTGGGGATACAAGGTTGGGAATCACTGGTCTAAGCTGTTAATAAAGTATCTCTCTGGGTTCTGGTCTTCAAGAACACGCAAGGAGCAAGCCAACAAGTTTATTACTTAAATATTTGTAACGTTTATGTACTGCCTTTCCACTCCAGTGAGCTCAAGGCAGTATATGCAGCTTTTATTTTTCCCTACTTGTATCTAAACAACAACCCTGTGAGGTATGTCAGGCTGAAAATAACTGGACCAAGGCCATTCACTAAGTTTCATGACTCAGGGTGTGTTTGTGGTAGACAACCCGGATATCTCAGGTCCCATGCAGTACTGTAAAACCACTATACCGCACTGGCTCTTTTTACATTCTTGCTTTCTTTTTGTCTCTTTTCAGTATGCAACTACAGGTTGTTCTCTGACCCTTCATCATACAGAGAAGCCAGAACATGAAGACATTTGTGAATTCCGCCCTTACTCCTGCCCTTGTCCTGGTGCATCCTGCAAATGGCAGGGCTCTCTGGAAGCTGTCATGTCTCATCTCATGCACGCTCACAAGAGCATCACCACACTTCAAGGAGAAGACATTGTCTTCCTTGCCACAGATATTAACTTGCCAGGGGCTGTCGACTGGGTCATGATGCAGTCTTGCTTTGGCCATCATTTCATGCTGGTCTTAGAGAAACAGGAGAAGTACGAAGGGCACCAGCAGTTCTTTGCCATTGTCCTGCTCATCGGCACACGCAAGCAAGCAGAGAACTTTGCATACAGACTCGAACTCAATGGCAATCGACGGAGGCTCACTTGGGAGGCCACACCACGCTCCATTCATGATGGTGTGGCGGCAGCCATCCTGAACAGTGATTGTCTTGTTTTTGACACTGCCATAGCACACCTTTTTGCAGACAATGGGAACCTTGGAATCAATGTGACTATTTCTACATGTTGTCCATGATGTTGTGTAACTGATGAGATTACATGGTTGTCTGGACATAGTACTTTTTCTGTTTTACTGATTTTTTAAAAAATAGTATTCAGCTATAGCCTGTCTGGTTGTTATTTCTCATGTGATTTACATTCAGAAGACACAAAAGTCATGCCCACAAAAGGTGCCTTCACGGCCCTGCAGTCCATGCTTTGGGTTGACACATTTGTAGAGGGGCTTCTGTTCTATGACTCCCCCAACCTGCCCCAATATGGAAGCCCATGTGACTGTTGGTCATGTGAGGGGGAATATCCAAATAGGAATCACGCCTTCATAAATGGTTCTTATGTAGCCTGCCATTTTGAAATTTCCCATAGCCACCCAATACTTGGGGGAATTTATTGTTAATAGTATTCTAATGCAATGGAATGAGTTGGCCCTGTTAACTTGAAAGGGAGAAGTTACATTTTCAGTATCATTGGATGTGTTTTTGGAGGAGGGAAGAGATTCCCTCATCTTGAGAGGCAACGTTTCTTTAGATCAGGGATGGGCTGAGTGCAATCTTCCAGATGTTTTTGGACTGCAGTTCCCAGCATTCTTCCCCAGCGGTTGCACTGGCGGTGCTAATGGGAGTTGTTGCAGCCCAACAGCATCTGCTGGTGACCCACATGTGGCCCTCCCCTGCTTTTGACATGTAGAATTGGAAGGGAAGGTGTAGGGTACACATCGGAGATCACTTTGCTGTGCTAAATGTGGGGCAGGTTCCACATGGAAAAGAAATAGGTGGTTTAGTCCTTGAGCTTTAAATAGACTGTACCACCTCAGACTGTAAGTGGCAGAGAGACTGTATTTTGAAAAGGGGTGGAGCAATAACCAGTAACTCCGCTGTAACTCCTAATGGGTACAGAGAAACAGGGCGCCCGCGATTGGCGGGTTCCAACTCTGCATCTCTCTGCTGTGATGGTGTTCTTACTTCTTGTGGGATAACTGTTACTATTATTAATGTCAAAACTGTGATCCTTCACCTGCGGCTTTACGTGGCACATGCTGTTTCTACTGCCACACTTGTAGGTAAGGCTATATGAACTGTCTCTGATGTAAACAAATTTAAAAGGGGGCTTTTGATGAGGTCTTTTAGTGATCTAATGTGAAAACAAAGGAAAGGGAAGATACTGAGGATGAGAACTGGGGTTAGATTTGCATTATGACTTAAGACTTTGAAGACAGACCACTTACATAGGACATCAGAGACTTAACAATTATACAGTTTTCATAATTTGAGAGAAGAGAATGTACTTCTTGTGAAGTGGTCACACTTGCTTGTGTGCTTCTGCTAATCAGGTTTTTTGTTTTGTTTTAAGCAGATATGTTTGTTCTGTTAGAGCAAAAGAGTCGCATATCTCTGCAAAATGTTTTATCCTCTTCATCCATCCATTTCAGCAAGAGCTGAAGAGGCTCAACAAATTGTGAGTGCTGCTTAGTTATGGGGTGTCAGAAACCAAGATGGGCTGGAGCAGTTAAAAGTAGGTCCCATCTATAAATAAATCCCCGTTGTTTACATGTGGCTTCCCCTCTGGGAAGGCATATTTACCATACTTGACATTAAATTTGTAAAGACTGGTTTAGAATAACACATGGGAAAGAGATACAGTGGTTGTCTTGTCTTCTGCTATTTAAGTTGAGGGGCGGTAATTTCTGTTGATGTTGTTGCCATATTTACTCTAGTTTTTTAAATAAATATTTTGCAAAAATAAGTTGTGTGAGCTGATTGGAAAAACAACTGCACATCAGTCACATTGGCACCGTAACTGCATCTCCAAAATGTAGCTCAGAGATGGAGCACAGATGTAAGTTCATCCCTAGCATGTCCAGTTTTTAAGAAGTCTTACAGAATGAAGGGAGGAGGAAAGTCTTACATCAGCTTTGGATATTTGTCACCAAAATACTAGTCTAGCTAGACTTCAGCTTCAGGTATTCAGTATTCATCATATCTGTGTGCTCATTTCATGTTCATTTGTTAAATTCATAGCTGGCCTTCTTTCCATTGAATTCATAGTGGCGTCCATGGCTTTCTTCACCACTGCTTGATCCTCATGAGATAGGTCAGCTTGAGAGAAAGTCACTTGATCCAAGGACACCCAGTGAATTTTTATGGCTGAGTAAGGACGTGAACCTGGATCTCCCAAATCACAATCCTGACTTGAACGGCTACGCCACTCTGACCTCCATACACAGTCTTATGAAAGACTTTTGAGGGCCTCATAACAAACCTCTGCTTTACCTTAGTAGACATTTGTAGCTGCTGTGAAGAGCTCTTGATGCAACAGCACCACAAGACCGTTCAATGGGTGTTATTCTCTCTGCCTTTTCCCTCCATATAACACTGATCTGAGGTCTGGTTTGGGGTTTTTTTTCCATATAGTGAAAGAGAGATAATAGTATAAAATTTCTTACTTATGGCAAACTTTTACAGGATTGACTATGTAGAGAATACTTAGAAGTGGTTTCCCATTCCCTTCTTCTAGGGGCACCTTGGGATTGAGCAGCTTGCCTAAGGTTGCACAGGCTGGCTTTACTCACAAGAGGCACAGTGGTGAATTGAATTCCCAAGCTCAGACTGCGCAGCCAGATACCTAAACCACTGAGCTATTCAGCCAGCTGAAAGAATGCTACACCTGTGCAATTTCACTACACAAGCCATTTTCTGTGGGTGTATTTTATAACACATTAAACACATTCTGTGTGCTTTTACTTGCCAGATAAAAATGGTAGTTACAAACCATTAAGATGTACCACTCTTTAATTTACTGTTTATTGTTGATAACTCAGAAGCACACATGAAGGAATTAAAAGGCTCAGTAATCCATTAAGACAATGGAATCATGTATTTGATACCTGTTGTAAAAATTGGATTAAGACCTTAAAGGAATTAACTGAAAACAAATTATCTTGAGATCACTATGCCAGCCTAATGTTGTGGCACAAAATGAAGCCTTAGAAAGATCTTCTTAACTCTTTTTAGGCTTAATAATATTATTGTACTATCATCAATAGTAATAAATCACACTTTGCATTTTACATAAATATGGACACTTCATAGCAGAGTCCAAGAATTTAGAAAAATGCCCCTGTGCAGAACTACTAGTATTCTGATTTCAGATCAGACTTCTCATGCACAGATAGGCAATGTTGCACACTCCACATGTTTTGCTCTAAAGATGCACTGTATACTGCCATTCTGTCTGGGGCTTATGGGTGCTGTAGCTCAAAACATTTGGTGGGTTACTAAGGTGGCTTTTCCCCTTCTTACTCATTTCTTCTTGCATTTCAATTCCTGCAGAACTGAGGAACAATTTTACTATTCTGAAACACAACAATTTTACCATTGTTGAATGTCTTATCCTTCAATAGAGTACTACCTGTAAACAGCAAAGCTGAAAACATGGCTTCCTGGCAGATGAATATTGACACAACTTTAGTAGTTTTGGACAGCTTTGGGATCCCATCAGTAAGAACAGTGAGGGCATGTTGTGGAATTCTCTGCAGCACCGAGAATGTTGTTCCTTTTTAGTTGGCCTAATAAAGGTATCATCACAACCTGGATGCTTATGTTTTTCAGCTATTTTGTGCTTTGCACATCCTCTTGCTGCTGTTCTACAGTCTGCTGAGCCAGTCGTAAGCCTACTCTAGTTAATAACGAAAGCTTTAGCTTGGCTGCATATGTTGGTTTCTTCATCTGTAACCAAATCCTGTACGAAAATGTAAGTCTGATCTTCTGTTGAGTGCTTGGCAAGCTGCTTTGTTATGCATCTGCTCTAACAGGCGGCAAAATGTCTATATGCACAGATTGAAGAACCATTTCTCAGTTGTGAACTGTTCCAGGATGTTCACGCTATTCAAATAGGAGCAATTAAGTGGCAGCATCCATACCCGCGGACAAAAGAGACCTTTTAAGGTATATATTTAAATATGGTGTTTATGATTGATTGTATAAGGAAGATTGAGCAAGAGATTTCTCTAGGGTGGATTTACTCAGCCATAAACATTGAAAGATCCAGATTCCTAGAACTCTAGCTTTGGCGCAAGACCATTTAAATTGTGATGCTGTGTCCCTAGAATAGTTACAGTACATTCCAAAAGTGAGCTCACTTGGATGCTGAAAGCAGGGTATGCCAGCACAGCAAAGCCTGCAGCTGCTTTTCGCTGTCAGCTCCCAGGATGGTGTTTTGTGTTCCTGTGCTGGAAGGCCAAAAGGACAAACATGGAGGTGTCAGCGCACCAATCCCACCTTGTGCCCATATCTGTGCTAGAGAGTTCCACCATACTGAGTTCCGACATAACACAACCTGCAGCATGACAAAGGAATGCCGTAACTTCCCCCAACAGCGCTACCAGACCAGGAACCATTTAAACAAGCAGAGATTTTTGACATGGAATGGACTTTCCTTGACAGAAGCTTCATACCTTACAAAGTAGGGGAATGCTTCTACTTCTTTTTTTTACTGTTCTTGTCTTATTTGGCTATTTGAAGAGGCTTCCTTAGTTGCTTCAAATGCATTCTGCTTGACGCAGGCATTTTTGTAATTGACTCTCCCATCATTTAATTACTCATTTAATAACCTGGGTGTAAAGAAACTTCACTGCAGTAGACCACAAGCAAAAATCATACAATCCACTAGCTTTCATTGAGCAGGATGCCCACTTCCTCAGGCCTGCATCACTGTCTTGTCATTAGTGCAGAGGATTTGAGAGTCCCAAAAGTTCATGGCAGATACCTATTCATAAATGTAAAGCAGGAGAGGCACAGGCTGCCTTGGGGGTGTGTGGTTTTAAAGTTACAGCTGAGAAAGCTGTTGATTGCGTATCACACCCCAGCTCTTCAAACGAAGAACTCCAGGCATTATACATACACTTTCCTGCATAGTCTTCCTTTGAAAAGCTATAAGGTCATAGTATTGTCATAGAGGTAATTTTCAACAATATACTGGGGGGGGGTCCTTTCTTTGACCAGGTACTGTGAGGACTGCAGCTGGAGGGAAGAAAGAAAACCTAGAGAGGGGTGTCCTTGATGATGCCCCAGTCCTTGCAATTTAAAGCTCCTACGTCTTCAATATCTGACTCCACTAAACCACCATGTGTGGGGGAAAAAAAACAGGAACCATTGAAGTAACATTCAGCCACCTGCCTCTTACTGCTTTTAAAAGCCCCGACAAGAACTATCTGGACTATGAAGGATGGGGAGAGATGCGTTCCGAAACAGATCGAGGAGGGGGGGGAAAAAAAACGAAGAACCCTAAAGCCCAGGAGGATGACGTCACGAGCAGAAGGCGGAGCCTTTGCAAAGACGTCAGAAGCCCTGCTGAGCCGCCTCGGTGAAGTCCCAGGAGAGGCAAAGAGGTGTAGTTCCGGCCCGTCGTCGTCACCCTGGAAACCAGAACGCACAACACGGCGCATCACAGAGAGCACAGAACGCTGCTCTTCTGACCAGCCCCTGGGAGTCTTAAAGGGGCCGCCGCCCCTGCGCGATGTTTTTGCAAGGAGCAATTGGGTGGTGCATCACGTTATGGAAGGCGCTCCCGGGAACCTGGAGGAGGATCACGATGGAGCCGAAGAGCCAGGTGTTGCTCGGGGATCCGTGGCCAAGAATATCTGTGCCATGGAAAGAATCGGGAGTGTGTGTGTGGAGGGGTCCGAATTCGCGAGAGAAGACGTTTCTCTCTAATCTGACCTCTTTTTAGGTTGAGTCTAAACCGAGGTTTGGGTTCAGACTCTTCGGAGGCAAGGATCGGCTGTCACGTGCAGGAGCGATTCAGTTCAAAGAACTGTGTGCGCACATCGCCAAATTCGTGCTTTGTGAATGGGGTCGGGACCATTTGGGCTGTCAATCCGTGTCTCCTCAAGATGCCCGTCCGGAAAAATATCTCCTTGGGGGCGGGTTGGCATTGAAAAAGCTGCAAGGTGGTGTATTAGAATAATTCACATGCACAATAATCAATATGCTCTCCCCCAGCCATCTTAATTCTTCACTGTCTCTCCCACAAACAAACAAAATGTAGCTGATATATGTTTCACCCATCCTGTTTTCATTTCTCAAAGGAGTAGCAGAAAAAGCAACAGAGTCCTTAAAAGTGAACACATGTATTTACAGCATGTGTTTTCATGAGCTGTAGCCCACTTCATCAGATGCAGGACGTACTACCCAGAATTATAAGTATATATGTGGTACTCACGGTTGGGATAAGATTGTAACAGTGAGGTCAGATGGAACTTCAGTGCCAAAAGTACCAAGTGACCACATTCCAGATTGGGCATATATTTGTTATAGTTTCATCTGTCTTGCCTTGTGATCTAAAGCAAATTGCAGCACTGCCCTTAAAGTCACCAATTTGGCTGTCTTCAAAGGGCATAAGATCGTCTTGTGCAACATCAGGGGTGGATGGTTGCCATGTGTATCAAAAGTGTAAGGGTATCTAAGGAAAGAGAGAGTATGAAGGCTTCATTTGTGAAGTTGAATTCATTTTGCCAACTATGGAATTATTTGCAAAAATGACAGCATCATGCTTTGACTGCAAGTCCTCTAATTATTATCCATGTACAAAAACATCCCCATATTAGCTAGGTCCTATTTTAAATTAAAGAGCAGGAGGCTCGAATAATGTTACAGAAAAGCTGTACATTAAAAATACAAGACAAAACATAAACACCCAACCTTACTGACATTTTGGTAGGTGTTTTCAGACTTTGCTTCATTCTGGGAAACACCCTCTTCCTTGTCAACAAATGCAATGCAGAACATTGTGGGGATATATTGAGAAAATGAGAGGAGTCTAGTGCATTTTACAACTTCTATATATTATTCAAATTTTGTTTTTTATTTATTTACCACTGAAATGAAGACAGGAGGGCCTGGCATGCTCTGGTCCATGGGGTCACAAAGAGTCGGACCCGACCAAATGACTAAACAACAAGAAATGAAATTATGCTGGTTTAAACCCAACTTAATGACCTAATGAATTTTATTGGAAAGCAGTGGCTGATCCTGTGCATATTTGCTTGGTAATACTTACTTCCAAGTAAACATAACTAACTTTAACTGGAGTGGGGCTACAGTTCAGCAGAATTTTAATTATTTTGCTTTTATTATTTTATTATTTTGGTACAGAATTTACTGAATTTATTTACTGAACACTGCAGAGAAACTAAGGAGGCTCTGTCTAATTTAGTTACATTGTAATAGATTGTGTACATGTGATGTTATATTGCTACCTTTTGTTATTACAGTACTTATTGTATTTTTGTGTTATAGTCACATTTGGATATATTTGCTGGTCAGTGACTGTAATAAAGATCATTCATTCATTATTCTGCTTCCCACCTGAAATGTTCATCTAATTACTGGAAACTATGAGTTTAGGAACATGTTACAAATGAATTCAACTACATATGTTTGTGTTCAACAGGCAGTAAAGATGCTGGAGGCTCGCCAATGGATAATTCTGGGAGGTAAATGGAAACCCTGTTTTTATTTGCTTTTATTTTTTGGTAAAGTGTAAAATGTTCTACTTACATACTGTCCTAAACCACTTAAAGTGCTTTCTGGACGGTTTACAGTTTAATTGTGCAGGCTACACATTCCCCACCCCACCCCCCAGCGAGCTAGGTACTCATTTTATTGACCTCAGAAAGAGAGAAAGCTAAGTCAGTCTTGAGCCAGCTACCTGAGCTGTGAGCAAAGGCTTGACTGCAGTGGTAGTTTTGCAATGGATAAAGAAAGAATAAGAATATGAAAGTCCTCCGAAAACATGGCTAGCCATCCAATAGAATTAACTGAGAGTAGGTTCAAGAAACAGGTCAGGATAATTATTTTCCTACATCAGAAACCATGTGAGGCATAATCCTCATGCATAGTCATGCAGACACAACTTGACATTACACCCACAAAGTAAGGTAAAGGTTCCCCTTGACATTTAGTCCAGTCGTATCCGCCTCTAGGGAGCGGTGCTCATCCCCGTTTCCAAGCCATAGAGCCAGCATTTATCCAAAGACAGTTTCCGTGGTCACGTGGCCAGCGTGACTAGACATGGAACGCCGTTACCTTCCCACCAAGGTAGTACCTATTTATCTACTTGCATTTACATGCTTTCGAACTGCTGGGTTAGCACCCATAATAGCTACCTAACTACCAAGGCAGAAGTGTTATCTGTAAAGCACTTCCACTGGCTCATTGTGCAGTAGTTACAATGGAAATCCTGCAGCCAGTTGTGCAATCGAAATGCGCAGTTCCCTATCCATGTACCCAGCACATGTACACAGGTGTAATTTTGTGTCATGTGTATATGAACAGAATTTTGCCTTTTATATTAATTGCTGGAAATGCAGCAACAGCCACTTGTAGATGACTATTAAGGAGTGAGGTATAAACACAAAATACAGATAATAATGCCATAACTGAAAATCAGGGGTCCATATTCAGTGGCAACAGGCTTTTGAATAGGGCCATATTTCTGGTAGAATTTTTTGCCCACCTGCAGCCAACGGAATACTGTATAAGTAAATAGAGGAGAAGAGAATGTGTATGAACTTTGGCAGTGACCTCAGTACACCAACAAGAAAGGAGAACTCAAAGGAACAGAACAGGGAAGAAAGACAGACCCCTGACACCCTAAAGTCTGTCTGTCTGTGTGTCTGTCTGTCTGTCTGTCTTTCTCTCAGAGTGTTGCACAATTTAAAAGTATGGATGTATATGACATATGGGTAAAATTAATAACAAATGAAAATGTTAAGAGAATTAGACTATTTTTGTTACGTTGTGACAAATGCATGCATTCATCCATACACACATGTGCACATACAGCATGAGTATGGAACTAAATTGTAAAGAAAAATTAAAAGGGCATAGCCCAGGCACCAATGGAAGTCCCTCACTTTGCAGTGTAACTTTAAAAAAACATACGGACAGTGGCCGCTAGAGCTTCCTAATTTCATGCAGAGGTCCTTCCTAACACCTGTTTTTGGCATAGTCCAAGGGAAATCTTTGGCTTCATTGGGCAGTTCAGATGTTAATCTTCTCCTTTGGTGCCCACTCAGTCTTCCTGAGATCTTAATTTCAGTTTCCCTTTACTGGCACAATGCCTTTTCAAAAAAATCTTTCCACTTTTCACCCTTAGACTGCCAGATTGAACCTGAAGGACCCATGTTGGGTGCTGCTCTACCCAGTGGGTGACCCTGGACTATTTGTTTCACCCTGTGGTTGCCGCAGGGCTGCACAAAAGTCCCTGACTCCATCTATTCTTCCACATTTGTCTGAAGATAGCACACAGCCCTACTTTAATGCTAACATGCTTTCATTCTTTATAAATAAAACGAATGGTATGGGACAAAACTTCATGAGATAAAACCACGGGCATTTGCAGTGCTATCAACAACAGTAGCAACAGAGATGTATTATAGCAACAATACAACATAATCGGTTGTTCTTAATATTGTCAGCCACCTGATGTCCTCTTGAGGAGAAGGGCAGAGTACAAATATCTGGAAGGAAAGAAAGACGGAGCAATGGACAGATGGACAGATTCATGCATTGGCTAAAATCCTGTTGCTTAGAATAGTAAGTTGCAACTAGAATAGGCCCATTGAATCAACATAAGTTATGAATGAGTTGACTCACCAAATCCCAGCTGATCCAATGGGCCTACTTTCATTGTGACTCAATGTTAACCAGCGGAATTTCAGCTGTACCTGCTGGTTAGCTTGGTGGTTTAGGTATCTAACTGTGGAGTCAGAGGTTGGGAGTTTGATCCTGCATTGTCTCGTTGCAACTAGAATAGGCCCATTGAATCAACATAAGTTATGAATGAGTTGACTCACCAAATCCCAGCTGATCCAATGGGCCTACTTTCATTGTGACTCAATGTTAACCAGCGGAATTTCAGCTGTACCTGCTGGTTAGCTTGGTGGTTTAGGTATCTAGCTGTGGAGTCAGAGGTTGGGAGTTTGATTCTGCATTGTGTCTCCTTGACAGGAGCTGAACTGGATGATCCAAACGGTCCCTTTCAGCTCTGTAGTTCAAAGATGATGACTGTTATTATAGTTCCAAAAAACTATACGGCTCTGTAGTTCAAAGATGATGATGATGATTGTTATTATAGTTCCAAAAAAACTATACATGATTTCTTTCCAACATAGGGTTCCTGAAAGTAGCATGGAAAAACCACAGAATGATGACATTGAGGTGGATGCAGCTGAGACTATGGAAGGGGCAGATATGAGAAGAGGTACTACATCTCTGCTACTTTTGAACTGGACTGAGAATGTCCTGCATTTGGAGTATGCCAGGGAAGGTGATGAGTACTTTGAGACTCATCAGTTTATAACAGGGTTTTAATTTTCACAGCTGCTCAGGTCAATTACATTTTGCTTGGTTTCCTGCTACTGTTCTTCACCCAGCTATGTTTCACATAAATCTCCAAGTTAACTGCATTCTCTCTGTAACCCTTCTGGGTCCATGGAAAATCTGTTTGCTCTCCTTGAATTCCTTATACTGGTTGAACAACTGGCAGAGCTGCAAAATGAACCACACAGGTAGTGGAAGCCCTCCAAGTGTTAGGTAACAGGGCGCATTATCCTCAGCCATTGAAGTACAGTAGTTGTTCTGGCTGTGAATGGTGATAGTTGTACACAACACCTTAGAAAAGTACTAAGTTGAGGAAGGCTGGCAGTCCAAGCCCTGGTAGAAACCGTTTTAAGGAAGGAGTATAAGGTGGGGTCAGACCAAAGGTGTTCTTCTGAATCTGTGAAACAATTTCCTTGGACTCGTATCTAAAAAGAAACATCCCTGTCTTGGTATCACTATTATCAGCATAAGAACAACAGGTTGTTTTCCTTTTTAAAGTATAGATTCATTGAACAGATGATCACATTGAAAACTAGATTTTTTTTATTTAGTGGTTGAGTAGGAAAAAATTGATGTGAAAGCTATGTGTTTGTTTAACCATGTATTATCATGTTTTGGGTGTTAATGGTGCTTCTATAAACAGGTTCTGAAGATCATCCAAGAAGAGTGAAAAGTACAGAACAAATATCTTCAGCTAGGTAACAATAACAATAAGACATCTTGTGCTGTTCATAATTATTTTTAGTGGGATTTACCCTATTACATTTGCACTCTTTTGGAACAAAATTTCTGTGATTCCTTAGAATGTGTTCAGACATTGTATTAGAGTTTTTTCCTTACTACATTGTGGCTGAAATCCTGTTGCACCACTACTTAAAAGGAGCAATTGCTGGGGCTGAATTTCCTCAGGTTGAGAAATCTCCATATATATTGTCTGTTGCATCCTGTGTCATAAGGCTCAGGATACAACAGATAATGTCTACAGAGATTTATTAGCTTACAGTATTTCACCTCCAGCAGTTATGCTTTTTTAGTACCAGCACAATAGGATTTCAGCCTGTTTCTTATTCAGACAGTTCTGTGATGAGCACTGGAAAATGGAGTGCCAATCAAAATTAGGGATGTTGCAGTAGTTAGATTGATGAATCCCATGGCAAAACATGCTTCCTTTATTAGCTTTTAAAGTGCACCACTGCTTACAAGATGAAGGCTCCTAATATTATTTTCAAATACTGAATGTTATTTAACATATATTCTTCCTTTTCTTTATGGCCTGATCCAGTTATTGATGCAAATATTCAGTGGGATAAATGACCATGCCATTACTGTAGTATAGAACTGCCACAAAATGTTACAACATATCTTCCAATCCAAATTGAGTGTTCTTGTTCAGAATTCCAACCAGACATTCTCTCCAAGCTGGGATTTCTGTCTTCCCATTCCCACAATATTCTTCTTACATTTTTGCTGTACATCTGATGGCTATCGAGAGTGCATTGTTTTTCTTGGTTTTTAACAAATATTTTGTCTTGCTGCAAGACCTCAGGTTCTCCTAAGCATACTGATACCTTGTTTGTTTCTCAATGTCCTCATTTGGCTTCATTCCTGCTGACACTCAGCACTTGAGTTTGTTCTTTGAAAGAATGATATTGCAACTGAACTGAAAACATGTTTATTTCTTATTGGCTGTGCTGTAGTCAGGTTCAGAATCCCTTGGGAACTGACAATGGCAGTTACCAATGCCACGTTTGTATTATGACTCAGTCAGTTTAGCAACATGTGCATTTTTACAATAAAACACAAGAATTATTTTCCAGGGTGCAGAAGTGCATAGAAGAATGTCAGCATACATTGCAACACAGTATACATTAAAATAATACACAAGTACAGGATTCTATGGAGATGGGGCCTCCTGTGCCCCCCCCCCGCACATTGCAACACAGTATACATTAAAATAATTCACAAGTACAGGATTCTATGGAGATGGAATATCCACTTGTACACAGATGCTGTGACAGAGCAGAATCCAACAGTAGGCTTCTGCTAGCAGAGAGCTGGGATCCAAGAGAACTGTGTAGTGGGTAGTTCTTCCTACATAACAGTGGTTCCCAACCTTGGATGCCCAGATGTTTTTGGACCACAGTATACATTAAAATAATTCACAAGTACAGGATTCTATGGAGATGGAATATCCACTTGTACACAGATGCTGTGACAGAGCAGAATCCAACAGTAGGCTTCTGCTAGCAGAGTGCTGGGATCCAAGAGAACTGTGTAGTGGGTAGTTCTTCCTACATAACAGTGGTTCCCAACCTTGGAGGCCCAGATGTTTTTGGAGTGCTAGTAGCGAAGGCTTCTAGGAGTTGCAGTCCATGAACATCTGGGGACCACTACTCCACACCAAAGTTTCTTGCTACTCTCTGTGCTCCCCCCACCAGCAATAAAGGGCTGGACCCCACTACCCTGAGCCAGTTTCCAGGTACCATGTATAGTGAAAGGGTGAGGCAAGAGAAGAATATCCCAAAGGTTATTTTCCAGTAGAATGCTGAATTTTTATCCCATACTGTGTTGAGTTGCTTTAATTTTCCATCACTTGCTGTTGGTCTTAAATGTTAATACACTGTCATTCTGTTTCCTTAGGTCTGAGGGAAGTCCAGAGCCAGGATCAGAGAGTACTGCCTCTGTTGAATTAACAGAGTTATCTTCATTCCAAACCACTGAAGCATCATCATTGAGCACAGGTCATATATATTTTTACATCCTCACAGTTTTGTGCACTAAGAAGACAGTTTAGGTCAGTGTTAATTTAAAAAGCAATTGGTGAAGAAGTAAAGGGATCTCAGTGTTCTAGACAAAACACCTGAGCTCAACTGCATTTTAAAAAGTGTGCCAATTGGGCCCAAACAGGAACAGCTAGATGTAGTGATATGAATAGACTAGGAAATAAAACTAATAATTAAGGGGAAAGTGGGATCGGACAAGGAAACAGGATCGCATTGGATTGGAACGAGAAGGCTTGCTCCATTGCATGCAATCTTGTTTCTATGCACATACAACTTGATCCCCATCGCTCCGGCGAGGTCCAAAGCAAGAGTAGTCCTGCCACTGAACCCAAAAGTTCAAATGTTCATGGAGCAGGGTCAGGCTGGTTTGCGATTTCTTCTACATTTTATGGTCCTGGGAAAGCAGATAGGACCAGACTGGGTGGGGGTGGGCTGAAACCCAACTCATTTGAAGAACAGTGTTTCTCACTTTTAAACCTCAGTGTCCAGTGTGGCACAGTTGTTAAGCTAGATTTTGAGAGACCTAGGTCTATTAATTTGATACACTTTTGCAAAAGAGTACAACACAATAGTATAGTTACATAATAGCTACTGGTAGGGGCAATGGGCACTCAGGTTAAATGTCATTGTTGTCAAGGTAGAATTACTGTATTCATTTCGTTATATATCTAGGGGCAATGGGCACTCAGGTTAAATGTCCTTGTTGTCAAGGTAGAATTACTCATTTCGTTATATATGTGTATGTTTGTGTTTATGAGAGGTAATGTATTAATATTTGCCACTAGAATTAGCCATCTATGCATGTAAACCATTTGGTTTGTGCCCAGCAGGAGCCAAAGGCTTCCCAAAAATATTGGGAACAGTTAGAAGAGAAAGTAGTGCTGCTGTATACGAATTAAGCAGGTGAGCCTTTGGATAGCACTGCTTTCCAAAAGGGAGTTTGTTCAAGTCAAACTTGAGTAATGATATAAAAGGTTCCATCTGCGTTGATAGTGATGGATTCTTTTCTTTTAGATGATAGTCAGAAAGGTGGGAAGACTTCACTTACAGTCCGTTCTATACTTCATCTTTGAAATAAAGCAACATTCTACCCTGGACTGCAGTTCCCATAATATCTAGTCAATATGGCCAGTGGCTGAGGTTGATGGGAGTTGTAGTCCAGCAGACTGGAAGGCAAGATGCTTAAGAAGGGCTGGGATATTTTCATGGGTTGCAGGAATGTTTTGGAGATTGAAAGGCGAAACCCATCGCAGGTTTATGTTCAGTAACAAAATCAGTTTAATGTAATTTGGGGTATTTTTCCAGGCACAGACACTGTTGGCCATTCCTTTAAGGATGTACCTTTAACAACTCTGGTTTGTAGAAAGAACACAAACTGTGAGGTTTGTAGTCATTTCCAAAATTAATAAAGGTGGCAATGGGTTAGCACTGCCAATATTAGGAGATTTCGTATCCTAGATATAAATGCAGTTTCCTGTCTTGTTTGCTGATAATTTTTATTTATTTATTTATTTGATTTATATCCCGCCCATCTGGTATAATTATACCACTCTGAGCGGCTGACAACAGATAAATTTCTTCTGCTAGTTTGTATTTCCACTAGTTCAAAGCAGTGGGCAATAGAGATAGCATGTGAGCATGAAAAGTAACAAAGAGCCTTAGAGGGGTTTTAAGTTTGTGGATTTATTTATTTATTTGAGACATAAACTAATTATTCAGCTTGGTTACACATGTTATGTTTTGTCTGTTGAAAGGGAGGCCCTGGATACCATGGCTGCTGATACAAATCAGCAACCTTTGGGATTATCTGTCTCAATACAGACAGATGCAAGCTGGCTTTGTGACCATGTCACAAAGAAGAAAAAGAGAAGAGGTAAGTAGAAGGCTTACTACTTACTGTTTAAAAATGGAAGAAATATTTGCGGCAATAGAACATAGAACTTGGGCCGGATTGTGTGCTCACCTGGACAAGTGTTTTGTATTGTAATTGGAAGGCCTCCCCAAGGGTTTCAGACAGAGATCCTTCCTATCTCTTGGTAACGGTGTTTGTTGAAGTAAAGATGCATGCTCTTCAACTTGGAAGGAACTTTTTACATGCTAGCTAACCTGTGCTAGCCTTTACCCCAGGCAACAGGCCCTCCCAAAGGTACAATCAGACTTCCTACTTTGAACAAGCCACACCTGGGGTTTGAATCAGAGCTTGGAGATCACACCTTGAAAGCAATGATATTACTAGTTGCACGTTTTTAGAATGAAGTCAATATTCATTATTTTTAAACATTTTAAATCAGCAATATTGGCACTACATTTTTTAAAATAATGTGCAAGTTACCCATCAAAACAACATTTTGGGAAAATTTTGCAGCATTTAGAAGTTTTTAAAATAATGTGCAAGTTACCCATCACTTCAAAACAACATTTTGGGGGAAAATTTGCAGCATTTAGAACTTTTTTGGTATTTCAACAGATTTGTAAAAAGATCATTTTTAAATTTACACATTAGCAATGCACTGTATGTGGGAGGAATCTAAGTTTCCAAAAGGTAATATAAGGGGATGCCTATAAGGACCTTAAGGAAGTTTTAGTTCCTCCAATTGCTGAACTGGCAATTGATCAACACTCCACTAATGTAGAGTTGATAAAAGAACATATCTCATTAATTCTTAGACAGTGTCACTGACAGCTGGTGTTTCCAGTTACAATTCGAGTGCTAGTATATACATGAGCCCACCCCATATGGTATTTCTCTGACTATATTGTAGTTAGACTGATGGTAACCAGAGGCTTCTCTATGGTTTAGGCAGGAAGATAAACAGGATGATTCTTGGGAATCTCTTCCAGCTCTACAGTTCTGTAATTCTATGTAAGACCCGCCTGCAGAATATTTTCCTCAGGACACTCCGCTGGTGCTGGGTTATGTGTCTTGTTGGTACCTGGGCTTTAATTTTCTCAGGTTTTTTAAAAACATTGTTTAGACAGGTTTTAAGCCTGCTGACACATTTGTGTTATTTCTTATTTTAATTGTATTTTGATTTCCCTCTCTTTATGAGAATCCTAAGTATTAATAATAAGAACCCCTTTATGAGTTGTGAAACTGAAGGGTAGGGAGTTATATAGAAAGTAAATACTACTCTAGTAGGAACTTAGAAGCAATAGTTAAGATACGTGACTGGAAGCATTTTGGGGGAGCCTTCTAAATTCAGCTTCTGACCACTTTAAAACATACAGGGCAGAAAGGTTTATTTTTAGAGGAATATATGGTAAGCATTCCTTGGGAGTGTTTGACAGAGTATGAGGAGAGTTGTGTATAAGTGCATTCCTTAGGTAATACAGAGAACTGTATTTATGAAATACTACATTTAGCCTGGCTTCTTATTCCTTTGGGCCTCACAAGAGAAACACTCAAAATCCCTTCTGCTTCTTCCAAAGAAACATGTCCCAATTGGAGGTGTCATTGTGGCATCATCAGTATTATCAAACATTAGTGAGAACCAATTCCCATGGAAACAACCATACAATACATACAGCTGATTGCAGCCAAAGTGAAACAAGAGATTTCAGCCCTGGCATAGTAAATCACTTGTGATTAATCTATTTTATTTAGGATTTTGAGCTTTCTTTCTTTCTTTGTCCATCTAGCTACACGATAGACAATTTGGGGGGAGAGGGTTGCCACTCCAAAAACAAAATAACATATGTACAATACAAAAATACAAGTAGTATAAATGTATTAGCTGATGGGAAAAAAGTGACTGATAATGATGTGGGAATGAAAATGAATAGTCCAGCTGCCCCCAGAATTCAAAACTTTGAGCAAGAATACTTATTTCTTCTCCCATCCCCCACCCAACACACTCACTCCAGAGTCAACAGTTCTTCAGCCCAGATTGTTCAACAGTGCTTTCAGAGATGGACACAATCATTCTAGGGTAGCCTTGGCCAACGAATAGGTCTACACCTACCATCATTGCCAGCCAACAAAACATCTAGAACAGGAGTGGGTAGGAGGTGGGCCACTAACCCACCACTACCAGCTAGTCCAAAATTTTTATTTAGTTAGTTAACACAGAGACAGATACATACACACAAAAATGATTATTTTTGTTCCTGAAGTCCTCCAAGAGTCATGGTTTTTATTCTAGTGAGATTGGGGAGGTCTGGAGCAGACTTTGATGTTTGTTTTCCTCATTTTTTCTGGTTTTTGTGCAAATTTGGGACCTAAGCCCACAAAAGTTGTCTAGTCTGGAGGGTAAGAGATTGGAAAACACAGTTCTAGACCATGTGGGACAAATCATAAGAATTTGTCGGGTTTATGATACGAGTGGCAGTGTATGTCAGGTACTATCCAGTATGTTCTTCATAACAGGAATCAATTTGAAACAAAGCTACGTGAACTATTTGTGTTTGAAAATATTAGCACAGGAGCCAGTTTGATTCCCAGTGATGTAAAGCTAATTGAGTCTATTTAAAGCTCCCACCAGATACAACAAGATAATACTCATGGACAAAACTATAGTATTGCACTTCTAGAGAACAAATCTTTTTCCTAGATGTGCAGTTATAATGAAAAGTGGGCCAAGTATTGAACAGACGAAGGCGCTTTGGAAATCCTGAATTTTTATCTCTCTGAAGGTTCCTCTTTTCCCTGGCTAGAAAGTTTTTTCAGTCCCTTTCCAGTGCTAGATCAATGTTTTGCCAAGCCCTACATGCAGCACACAGTCTTTTTAAGTTCTATGTCCATATCTATAAAAGGCCCATATTTTCCTGTAAAAGATAATCCGCTCTTCAGGTATGAATCCATAGTTTTATTTTGGGTGTAAAATCTAACATGGGTGTAAAATCTAAAATATATTGTCCAAAATCTTGTTGTTTAGCATAATAACACACTACAGTAGGGCCATTGAATCAATGGTGGTTTAAGTGAATGAGCTCTGTTCTACATAGGCCTTGTTTTCAAAAAGAGAGAAAAATGAACTACTTACATATTAAAAATAAAATCAGCTGTGTGTCATGCTTACTTTGCTTTCTTTTCAGCTCCAAGGAGCAAGCAGAAGCTTCCTCCTGAGAATGGTAAACTGATTATTTCAGACATAAATTTGTTCTTCCTCTTGAGCTTTTATGTCAAAGCCTGTGTGAGTCCAAAACAATAATGCTATCAAAATGGGTACACGCAAGCCCAGAGTCCATCATCCCATACTCAGCTGTAGATTCCTTGAGTGTCCTTAAGTCTGTGGCTATTTCTCTGTCTTCTTTTCTGCAATATATAGCAGGAATTTGAACTCACTTTACACTGATGTAGTGGTGGCAATCAGTGAAACAAGAATTGAAAAACACATGACATGATAAAATCAGAGAGTTTTTTTTCTTCTTGACAGAACAATAGGCAGAAGAACAATAGGCAGTCTGAAAGAGAGAAAACTGCTGATACAGTTCAACTGTTGCCTTTGGCAAACAGGTTTTGCAGGAAAAACAGTAAACATTGTGACACTTTAAAGACTGACAAGTTTTATCGGGAATGAGCTTTTATTGACTATAGTTAGCATCTGATGAACTGGGCTGAATGCCAATAAAAGTTTATGCCAGTACAACTTACTAGTCTTTAAGATGTCACAAGACTCTTAGTTGTTCTTGCCAAAACAAATTAATGTAACCATCCAGAGTAGTGCCTCAGCACTAATGGGAGCGGGATATAAAATGAAGAAATAAATAAATAATAAATAAATAAGTGTTCAGAAGGTTTAGTTGTTTAAGAAACCTGAAAACAACTGAGGTGATAGTAGGGCTTAGAAATACTAATTTTTTGGACTACAACTACCAAATTCCCCTCACACACAATAAATCCTTTTCCAAGAGCTCGGTTGCAGTGGGACAAAAAGAGATGTGCTGGCTATGAGAAACAATGCCTCTCTTCAGCCATATCCAGGACTCTTAATTCCTCTGGTTCCAGCCTCAGAAATACTAAATTCCCACTGTCTGGAAGTCAACAGGCCAAGGCTTTTCTAGAGGAGAGCCATGCAAAGTGCCTTTTGCAGCTACTTTGAGAAAACATCTGAGGACTGCAAAGGGGGATCCACAGGCTTTTCTACCACAGCCTTTGGCATGATGCATTGCCTCCCTTCTAATTTTGGAGGTGACACATCTGTTACTTTCGTAATTCAGAGAGGGGAGTTCGGAGGTTGGATCGCTACATTCAGGGGTGGGGTGCTTCTGTCCTCAGGAAATAGATCCTGTTGCTCCTGATATGCATTTGAAAGATACTTCCATATGGCTGAGTTGTGTGTTCCACTTTCCTGGTGTCACAGACAATGGAACGTGTAAGGCAGTGGTCCCCAACCTTGGGCCTCCAGATGTTCTTGGACTTCAACTCCCAGAAATCCTGGCCTGCAGAGGTGGTGGTGAAGGCTTCTGGGAGTTGCAGTCCAAGAACATCTGGAGGCCCAAGGTTGGAGACCACTGGTGTAAGGCATCCCTGTAAAAGGTGAATGGTTCTTTCTTCACATGGGCTGCATAGCTTGTATTGCAATAATCCTATATTTGCCATGCAACCAGCTGGGCATGAGCTGTTGCCCACAGTCCTTCCATTCAACAAGGGACTGTGTAGACATTCTAAATAAGAATAATCTAGATAGGTTTTATGATTCTGACATGAAAAACAAGAGAATACTTGATTTCTTAATTCATTCTTCTTGTTGATGTTTAGATATCTATGCTGTCATGTCCGATGACCTCAGCTGCTTAGACATTTTGTGCGATACGGAGGTATTGAACACTTGTGGTCATTACAGATTGGGAATGTATGTCCTATCTGTGCTGTCTTGCCTTCATCTTCTCCCTCACCCCTCATAATCAAATGAAAGTTAAAGAAATGTAAAGTCTTAAAGTACTTCCAGTCATGTATACATTCCCTCTAATACCACAGATCTTATCCCTGTCTATATTTATATCACTTCCTGGGGAAGTGATATATACTGATATCTAGTTTGTGGGTTATCCAGGAACAGCTACTGGCCAATGCATAGGAACATAATTCTGGCCAACATGAGCAATATTACATGGCTCTTAGTATGCAGTTGTTCTGTAGAAACTGCCCCCCCCCCCGGGAAAGTTCTGGGCAAGGAGGTCTGAGATTTCAAACTACATTATTTTTTACTGTGTATTGTTGTTTGTTCCTTTTTTTGTGTTTTAGTTTAAAGAAGATTTCCTAAGGTTGTTTCAGGAATCACTGCGCACACTTTCCAGCGTTGGGCCACCAACTATCTTAGCATACAGACCAGAATCATCAAGAGGAGATATAAGTATAGAGGTGACCATTCTTTCCATTCAATAGTTATATATGTATTGCGGTTATGCACAAGAATTTGTGCATTTTCCTTTACAGAGCAGAGCAAACTTTTGATCATTCTTTTTAATTTTTATTCACTGTTCGTTTAGTAAATGTGAAGGAGTTGTGTCTCTCTTAAGGAGCAGTGAGTATGTCATTCAGGACAGGAGCAATTTATTCTGTAAAAATAATTTTTACAACACATACATGAGAGTTGAGACACATGTGCTCCTCCAGATTTTGTGATGCTAGAGCTCTCATCATCCCAAAGCACCATGCTGGTGGAAATCTGAGTTCCAGAAACCTCTGGAGTATCACAGGTTTTGCACTCCAGGTTCTCCTGATCGAAATATTTGGATCTCTGTGGGCTGGCTAATCTTCCACCTCTTGCAAGACTGACAGATTATATTTGTTAAGACCTAACAGGACATCATTCAACAGTAATCTTTTTTACCTCTAAAATTTTTACTTGTTGTCCTAAATTGGAGAACATTGGCAGCTGACCATGTCCTCAATCCCCTTTGCTCATCCAATCCCAGTGCAATGATCCCATTATCTGAAGTGCCTGCTATTGCATTATCTTTATCTGATAAGATTCTGCTCCATTTTGAACAAGTGTCTTTGAAACACAGTTAAGTATCCTAAAAAACTCTGCCTTAATTCATGTAATTTTGTGAAAATAAATGTACATAGGTTGCCGTATCTTTTTTTTTTGTCCAGTGCTGCAAAATCAGCTTGGGAAGAGGGGATGAGCAGCAATGCAGAGGGGATGAGTAGCAATTTTGAGTGGCACATTTTCAGGAGAAGGGTTAAGAAGCCCTTTTCCCATTGGTGCTAGTCCTTTGCTTAAGATTTCAAGATTTCAGCTTCCTCTGGATACTTTTCCTTCTGGAATTGTGGAGCTGTCAGAAAAAATAAACCCTGCAAATATATTTGATGTGTAGCATAGCCTTGAAGAATAAGCGGTAGGTTTTGCTGAAGAAAAGAGAAAACCATGTGTGGTGTGGTCCTTGTGAAACCTCATAACTTTTGATTGCATGAAGGCTGGCGTATAAGATTAAATGTTCCCCCTCATTAAAAAAAATCCTTGCTTGTGGAAAGGGGGAAATACTTTTTGGCCAAGTTTTCTGTGGAAATCTACAAGTTGCAGTTCAAAAGAGTAAGGCTTCCCATTCTAGATGCTTGAGTGAACTGTCAGATTTTAACCTGGCATCAAAACAAAGGCAGTGTCATTGATGGTCATGTGTCATGCAGAGAAGGCATTCTACACTACAGGCTGAGAAAGCATTCCATGGGATTTAAGGATGGTACACTATAAACAACCTTATCCTGCTCCTACTGCCAACCTTCCCTGCCTGGCAGATTTCCCATGAATTTTATACAGTTTGCTGTTTATCAGTGCCAGAGAGGAAAGAGTGATTTGCTGGGGGAGCAAGCCTTCCATTCTGTTCCCAGGGATCCTTATGCAGATTGAGCTCTGCTTCTTCCCAGGAAGGATGGAGATTGCTGGGATAGACATATATTTATATGTGTAAATTCCAAAAACAAGGATGGGTAACAACATTCCTGTTAGAATATAATCTACAGACTTTGTATCCTATTGTGGGAGGAGGCAAGGACAGAAAAGTTCAAAAATCATCTTGGCTACATGTTGATCTTAGCTAGCAGGATCTGTAGCTAAATTAAAGTACCAAAATGGAGACCACAGATTCTGATAACACTAGAACTAACTCCACTGAAGTTAAACGGGGAGAGACAAGAAGAAAGGGAAGCTGTGGGATTCGCTACGACAAGAATCGTGCTTGACATTATTCTACCATAATTTGATTCACTGTCCTCTGGTTTGGATTTAATCGACACCCCATCTTATTCTTTTGATCTTTCACTTCCCCTGATAAGAAATTTGATAGAAACCCATTTTAAGAAAAAGAACATTTTGAAATATGAAAAGGATGTTGCTTCCAATAAAATTAAACAGAGTAATCTGAGATTCTCTCCAGAAGCAGTGTTCGTGTAGTGTAATCATGTTGCGACTGACATGGCTATCTGATCTCTCAGGGAAATTAACTCTGTAAGGGGAAAAGATCAGCTCTGATAGGCCACCACAGACTCAAACTACCAAGTAGAGTTGTAAATCTTATAGTGCTCTGAAGACTTTGTTCAGTTGTCATAATTTGACCTTGATACAAGCCTTGGGAAGCAGATTTGCCATTGAAATGTAATCTCCCCCCCCCCAGTGTCCGGCAAGTGGCAACCTTTATTCAAGTAGTTGTGGATTACCTTGTGTTGGAGCTTTTACAGCTTTGTGTGCTGCCTGTACAGTGGTGCCTTGCATAACGGGTGCACCGTTTAATGACGAATTCGCATAGCGATCTATTTTTTTAGATCGCTAATGCGACCGCATTGCGATGGTTAGATAGGGCGAAGATCGCATTGCGATGATCGGTAAGCGTTTCGCTTACCGATCTTCGCATTGCGATGTTCCTAGAACAGCTGATTGGCGGCTCCAAAATGGCCACCAGACACCCAAAATGGCCACCGCAAGTGTTTTCGCGCCCTGCCTTCGCTTACCGAGGGCGCGAAAATGGCGGCGCTATGGAGGAACTTCGCTCAACGGTGAGTTTGGGCCCCATAGGGCCCCAAGTTTAATGCGTTCCTATGGGTTTTTTCAATCCGTTTAGCGATGTTTCCTCATAGCGACGATTAATCCGGAACGGATTAACGTCGCTATGCGGGGCACCACTGTAAGTGGAAGAAGACGAGTATAGCAAGACCGCTCAACGGTGAGTTTGGGCCCCATAGGGCCCCAAGTTTAATGCGTTCCTATGGGTTTTTTCAATCCGTTTAGCGATGTTTCCTCATAGCGACGATTAATCCGGAACGGATTAACGTCGCTATGCGGGGCACCACTGTAAGTGGAAGAAGACGAGTATAGCAAGACGTCCCGTCTATGGTGGTGGGGAACACAGTTATATTATATTTTGATTTGTGTATTTTATGTTTATGTTTTAAATAAAAATCTAATAGACAGACAGACAGACAGACAGACAGACAGACAGACAGACAGACAGACAGATAGATAGATAGATAGATAGATAGAAAGTAGCTCTTTATATTTGTGATATTCCTATATCATATATATATAGGATGGTGAAACCTTGTGAAGGATGGTGAAACCTCAGAGGCTGGTGGCTATATATATATAGCCACCATCCTCTGTCTGATTTTAACTCTCTACTTGTATAAAGCAGAGTTTGTTCCACTCCTGCTTATTTCATAGGTACAGTACCTTTTTGTCTTATGTTGCTAGTATGTACTGAGTTTTTAATGACACTAAAGGTACCTGCCAAGTTCTACAGTAGTTTTGGTACACACTGTTCTCTCCTCACTTGGGACCTGGATTTCAGAACCTTCCTGTTATATACTGAACATTTTTATATTTTGGAGTGTGAGATTAGATGTGATACAGTAATAAACATTGAGGGCACAATCCTATGAAAGTTAAACTTTGAGTTTTACTAATTTCCAGACCAGTGAGCCCATCACATATTCAATGCTTCCATTTAAAAAATTATCAAATTTGGAAAATTCCATTAATTCTGGCGTTGGACTGTGCATGGCTCTATTCATATCATCTAAATGCTAAACTTTAGCATTTTTGGTTGTTGTGGGTTTTTTGGGCTCTTTGGCCGTGTTCTGAAGGTTGTTCTTCCTGACGTTTCGCCAGTCTCTGTGGCCGGCATCTTCAGAGGACTGGAGTAGGAACTCTGTCCATGCTCTGTTGCTGTTTGTTGGATAATTGAGTATTTATAGCTGTGGGAACAGCTTTTGTCTTTTTTCAGGAGATAGGGTGATCAGCCTGTTTTTTTGTTGTTGTTGTGAGGGGAGAGATTATCTGTTACTGTAAGAGGGGAGAGATTATCTGTTACTGTGATTGATGGATGTCGTTAGCTGGTCTTTTTTGTGCAAAAAAGTGTCTCTTATGTTATTTGATTCTGGTATGAATGCTGCCTTTTGTGGTTCCAATAGATACCTGTCCACAACTGCAAGGTAGCCGGTATACTCCTTCAGACCCACCACAAAAATACAACAAATATTATGGACAGCAAAGGACAAAAGGGACCCCCTCACCACTGCAGAGCATGAGAGACACTGCAGACTAAAACAACCGGAAAAAGCAGCAGTAGCTGAACATGCCCTAAAACAAGCTGGACATGAAATTCTATTTCAAAATACTGAAGTACTGGACAACACCAGCAATCATTATGTTATACTGCACAGGGAAGTCATTGAAATCCATAAACATGAACAGAATTTCAACAAAAAGGAAGAAGGCCTAAAACTAAACATGGCCTGGCACCCAATATTGAAAAATACAGCCTGTAAAAGGTCAATGAACTCTACCCAGCCACAAGGACCAGGGATCATTGCACAAAAAAGACCAGTTAATGACACCCATCAATCACAGTAACAGATAATCTCTCCCCACAGCTATAAATACTCAACTGTCCAACAAACAGTAACAGAGCATGGACAGAGTTCCATACTCCAGTCCTCTGAAGATGCCGGCCACAGAGACTGGTGAAACGTCAGGAAGAACAACCTTCAGAAAACGGCCAAAGAGCCCGAAAAACCCACAATAACCATCAGATCCTGGCAGTGAAAGCCTTTGAGAATACATTTAGCATCTTTGTTCTACCAACAACTTGCTGGAACGTCCTTAGGTTGGCAACCTATGATCTGGAAGGATGTAATCTAGACTGCGGAGAAATGGCTTGCTCATTTACCTCCCTTGCTATCATGCTACAAATCCCTTGCTTAAATTACAATTATGGTGTCTGTTTTCCTCTGTTATACATTGGAAAAGTATTAAATGGAATAGGGAGCTAGGCCTATGCTAGGCCATGAAGCCTTCCCAGCTAGCCCTTTTGACTAGAGAGCCACATTTAATCATCTGTTAGATGTGGATCTGTCAGGTGGAATTCTTAGAAGGGACAATTATAGGATCTGTTGTTCAAAAAAATCTGAAACTCCCGTGTCTATTGATATTTGCACATTTCTATGGTTATGTCAAGCAAATAGAAGGAAAGCACACAACCTTATTTGTCATCCCTCACTTTTTTCTGTGGTTTTGCTGAAAATTAGTGATTGTTCTTCTTTGTAAAGTGGATGGGAATCTCTCACTCCTTATAAATCAATTTTTAATCTATATCTAACATCTTTGAGAACAGAACTACTATTCTAGCAGCTTGAACATTGCCCTCTGCTGATCATGTCATATAACAGGGCACTAAATAACTACTGCTTTCTCTTGGGAAAGCCTCACAAAACCAAGTACAGTAGTTGTTTATTTTCTTATGCCATTTGCAGATAAACATGGACTTCTGTATCATTTGTCATAACTCTTTAAGTATTTATTTATTTATACCTTGCCTTTTGGCCAAAAAGGAAAAATAATCAAAGATACAATTATTTATTGAGAAGCAGTCTTATTAAAAACATGACACTGAATCAAATATAATGCAATTTAAAACACAATAATAAAAGACATAGGTGCCAGCTCTCAACCTATTAGACCTGCTGGGGAGGAAGCAAAAGCACAATGGATGCACCCCTGGGATGCACCCCTGACAGGAAGTGATGTATCTAATAGGAACTTGCCTGTGTCAATGTTCTCTGTGGGGCTGTTACACCAGAATGAGGCTTCTCTGCTGTTGTCTGTAGCAGCATGGGATAACTGTGTTGCTGAACACCCTGCACTGGTCACTTACTTGCTACTGCAGTCCTAACAGGACCAAACTGGACTCTTTTCTTCCTAATCATTTCTAAACATTAATTAATTTGTGGACAGCAAATGTGGCCCCCATGGTTTTTTTTTCTTATTTCCACTGTGAGTAAATGAAAATGATATCATTGGGACTCTGAGGAGGGTCACATGTTACAAAAACTGCACATTTTCTGATTATTCCACCCACATTTGCAGATCTGGTGAAATAGAATATTTCTCTTTTTTTAAAAAAAGCTCTTTTGTTTCATTCTCTTTTCTTCTGTCTTAAATTTTGTGTCAAGAAGATATGGGCTCAGAAAGCACTTATAAGCATCATTGCATGATTTGTGTGCCAACTGTCACATGCATAACATTTGCATGCCATTATTAAGGAGAGCTAACCATAACAAAATAATTGGCTTATACTGTATAACTCTTCCTTACTTCTTTCACAATAGTTGCTAAAAAAAACTTGATAGAAAAGTTTTATACGATATCAACCACAAATGTACAAATAAGGTGAAATAAAAGCAAACAGGACCGAAAAATCAGCAAAATAAACATGTAGCATTATTTCCCCAAAACCAGTCTGGAAAAATAATCTTTGCATCTGCATGTGATTGGGTTCGTGATCATGGTCAGGCGGCCCCTGGGTTTGGGCGGGAAAAATGGTCGGAGGCATCTCAGAAGTTTGAACAGTCTTCTTTTTATTATTCAACAAACTCAACTCGACAGATTCAAAAGGACCCATCAAACTTAACTCTGGCAATATTCTGTAACTTTTAACTTTAACATCTGGAATTATCAAATCACTTCTTACAGAGGGGCCGGACCAAACCACTCTCTGTCTGTTATCGGCCTCAGCGGGGTACTCCTCATGGCACAGGCTGTCCCACAGCAGGGGTGTCTCGCCCAGTCCCCCTCGCACGGTTGGTGGGGAAAAGAGGGACTGGGACGGGTCACCCTCCTCCCCCCACAACCACGGTCCATTCCAGAGGCTGAAGATCTTCCCCCTTCATGCGGTAATCCTCCAGAGGCTCAAGATCTTCCCCCTTCATGTGGTAATCTTTCGGGTCAGGCAGCAACCCACCTCCAAGCTGGAGATTCGGAAAGTCCTTCAACAGTCCATGCCATTCTCCAAATTCGCCACTCAGCTTGGTCTGTACCACACAATCCTTCCTCTCAGGTATTTCCCCACCAGTCATAATTCTGAATTCCCGCGCATTTGTTTCCTCACTTATAACCTCCTCCCACACAATTAGATCTTGCTCCTCCCCTTTATCCTCTGCTAGACACACCTCCAATGACCCCTTCCACGCCATATCACTTTGCTCTATTTCCACTAACACTCCCACCACGCAACCTTGACTCTACTCTGGCTTCTGCTCTATAGAGGATGGCACACTGGCCTTCTTGCCTTCACACTGCATCAAACTAAAAAGGGCACAGATAAGGCCAGTTAGATAGCCTCTTAACCTAGATACATTTCTATCCTAGGCAGTTGCATGGCTAATGGAGAGAATCCTTGCTTCCTGCCTAGATCATCCCTTTAGGATGATTCACAAGTCCACTCCATTGTCAGAGGGGATGATGGAGGTCTATGGTGGGTGTGGGTGTGTCATAGATCCACATGATCTTAAGACTTCCCCTTCTCCCAATATGCCCCCAAACAGGTATGTGAACAATGACAGATGGGAAGCATATGCTAAAGAAAAATAGGGTGTGTGTGAAATTGGTGGATGAAGTCAGTACCAAAATTACATTATCTCAAACTCTTGCTATTACCCATGTATAGCCGTGCACTCTCCTTCTAGTCTCTCATATCATGATCCTCACTAATATTTTTGCCCCCAAAATTGCCCCATTTTGTCTCTGCAGTTTGAAAAATCCTTTCCAGACATTTGTGAGTTCTGTGGCAGCCCGTTGAGACACTTTCCTTCATTTGAAAGCCTAGAACAAATAGCTAAGTATGGATATGTAAGTAACAGAAAAGTACTCCTCATGGCCTCCCTACAAAGCCAAGGAGACCACATCACCTCCAGGTAATGGCAGGACCTTGCTTTCCAGCTTTTTTGTTGCCAGCAATGCAGAGAGCTTCATGAATTCATTGTCAATGAAAAAAACCGTTATGCAAAGGAAGGACTAAAGCTGATAGACATCTCCACTAATCAGCCCCATGGGAGCGAGGTTGAGAGGCAACAAGCAAGGGAGAGAGCTCGACAGAGGTACTGCAAGTTGTGGATATAAGCTTTCTAGGGCAGAGGGGGAAATATCTGTTTATCACAGCACAAACTTGCCCCATTCCACATGTTGCAAATTAGTTTTGTTTTGTGGTTGGATGTCTGAAAGTAAATAAAGACTTCATTTGGAAGTCTGGTTGCTTAGGCAGGGAGATTTGAAGGAAAAGAAAACATAATAGCAGGAGGTACACATTTCCCTTGATATGTGATTACCTTTCAGTTAATTATTTTCAAGAACAAATTTGTGCCTTTCAGGGGAAAGCCATAAAAATGTTTCGTAATGCAATGGCAGAGATCCTATTGCATAACTTAATGCCCGCAGAAAGGTGATGATAATCAGAAAGGGGTAGTTTTTGGTAATTATAAACTTCCTACTTTTTCCAACTCCCATATAATCACTTGAATTGCATGGAAGCTGTGGGAGCCACAGGATGGGAAGAGGAATTCTTTCATTTCTCTAAATTGCTGCCACCTGATGACATTGCCACCAAAGGACGTGGTGGCGCTGTGGGCTAAACCGCAGAAGCCTGTGCTGCAGGGTCAGAAGACCAGCAGTTGTAAGATCGAATCCACGCGACGGAGTGAGCTCCCATCACTTGTCCCAGCTCCCGCCAACCTAGCAGTTCGAAAGCATGCAAATGCGAGTAGATCAATAGGGACCACCTCGGTGGGAAGGTAACAGCGTTCTGTGTCTAAGTCGCACTGGCCATGTGACCACGGAAGATTGTCTTCGGACAAAACGCTGGCTCTATGGCTTTGAAACGGGGATGAGCACCACCCCCTAGAGTCGAACACGACTGGACAAAAATTGTCAAGGGGAACCTTTACCTTTACCTTTACAATGACATTGCCACCAGGGGGAGGCCTTCCATAAATAAGGACTCTCACCTCCCATCCTGTGGCCTCCACAACTTCCACATGATGAAAAGGATTGCATTGGAGTTGTAAAAACTATTGGACAGAAGTAGATAGATAACTACAATTGCCACTGGCTAATGACATTATCAGCCTTCTGCTGGCATATTTGCACCAACAGGATTTCAGCTAATTAATAGGAGATAACTACTTAGTAGACTTTTGGTCTAGATGGGAGGGATAGAAATCAAATAAATAAATAAACAAACAAACAAACAAACAAATAAATGTAAAGTAGTTTAAAAATAGTAATTTTAGTGATTTAAAATGGTCTTTCTGGAGGACATGGTGGTTTCTTGTCTTGTGTGAAAAAGGTTATGGAGGAAAACTTAGTGAGGTTGTGGAATTGCTTGTAAATGGATTTTGGATCCTGAGCTCAGTTAACTTAGCACAAAAGGCCTCATAAGATTCTAGAGAGATTTGAGAGCAGGTAGCACCGATAATTTCAGGGGAAAGAGTGGGATGGGGATCACTAATTCAAGAAACTTTACTTATTTTCAGTTTCTAGTCTCTGAATCTGAGTTTTCCTATTAACTCAGAAACTCTTACCCAGCTTCTTAAGGATTAATTAAAAGTTATAAGAAGTGATGGTTTTGGTATTACAGAAAAAGATATAGCTGAGATAGATATACAGGGGTATTTGATACCCAGAAGGTGCTTTTTTGTGGTAGTGGCTACCTGAGCAGTTACCTATGTTATGTCTCCAAAAGCATCTAAACCTTAGCTTCAGTATAGGGAATACATATCATCTATGTTTTGATTTTGCAGAATGAAGGAGAGACAAATGGCAAGGCAGCTTACCTTTGTACCGGACCATGAAAAGGAGTTCTTTCCAATACATGGTGCAGATTGTGAGTGCAATTTTATTCTGTTGATGTAATAGACAGTGGCCAGAATCTGATTGCTGATTTATGCTTGTGGGTAGCTTAGAGAGAAGGGTACCTGTCTGTAGAGCCAGAGACTGAGAAGATCAATTCCCCACTCTACCTCCCAGGAGAAGAGGCAGCTTGTATAGCCTTGGGAAAACCACGTCTGAGTACTTTATATCTAGACAACCATTGGAAAGTGTCACCATAAGTTGGAATTGACTTTATCCAAATCTCCCAGTAATGACCACTGCTTAGGATTGACTTGAGCTGAGTGAACAGATGACTGTGCAAGCAGATATTATTTTAAATAGAGATCACCTACTGCACCACATAATAGGTAACACAATATATAAATCAGTAATAGATCTTAGACCATTAAGTTTAAAAATTAATTAGATAAGGTTAAATATTAGAAACTGAGAAATTAACTCAATGTTTTCTATGTTGGGAACCAGACGTATGCAAAATTGAATTTTTGACTGCGATTCCCAGACTTCCCCAAACCGTTTTGGGGATGGAAGTCTGGGAGTTGTTCAGAAACACAAATTTTTGCATCTTTATTGGGAACCATCATAGGATATATATTTTTTCTTTAAAAGAATAATTCATTTGAAGTATAGTTCTGGAGCTTTTCCTATACACTGAATGGCCAGAGAGACAAACAAGTGGGTCCTAGGGCATACAACGCCTAAACTATCTCTAGAGGCAAAAATGATGAAGCTGAGGTTGTTATATTTTGAACACCTTATGAGAAGGCAAGATTCTCTAGAAAGAACAATAATTCTGGGAAAGGTTGAAGGCAGCAGGAAAAGAGGAAGACTGACTATGAAATGAGCTGACTCCCTAAAGAAACCACAGGCTTGAGTTTACAAGAGCTGTGCAGGTCTCTTGAGGAGAGGACATTTTGGAGATTGATCATTCATAGGGTCGCCATAAGTTAGAGGTGACTTGACAGCACATAACAACAACATTGGGAACCATTACTCTATAGAAAGTCAATTGGTGATTCCTAACTATACAGTACTTTTTGGACATTGTCTAGCCGGGTTTTGGTGGTGGCCAGAGGTGCTTTTGCAGTTAAACCTAGTGGGCAAGCTGTGGCCATTCCTGGAGAAATCTGACCTAGTCACAGTGACAAATGCTTTAGTTGCATCCTGTCTGGATTATTGTTATGCATGTAATAGTATGTACATGGCTGCCTTTTGAAAGTGCTCAGAAACCTCAGTGAGTTCAAAATGCTGCAACTAGATTGTTAACCTGGGCTAGTTACAGAGATCAGATAAACCCCTTGTTCCAGCAACTCCCACCAGCTGCTGATCTCTTTCTGGGCATAATTGAAAGTGCTTGGTTTTCATCTAAAAAGTCCTAGATGGCTTGGGTCCAAGCTAGCTCAAAAACTGCATCTCTCTATGAGCCTGCCCGGGTGGTTGTGATCATGAGGGGAGGCCTTTCTCTCAGTGCTACCACCCTCACAGGCATGCGTGGTAGGGACATGGGAGAGGACCTTCTCTGTTGCTGCTCCCAGACTCTGGAACTCCCTCCCACAAGATGCCAGGCTGGTCCCATCTTTGCTGTCCTTTCAGAAGCAGGCAAATACCTTTCAGCCAGGTGTTTCCTTACTAACCGACCATCTAGAAGACAATAAATGGGTTGGTTTCTATTTTGTTGCTCTTAAATCTGTTTTAGTCATGCTTTTACCTAACATTTTTAATGTAGTGTTATTACATTTTTAAATATTTGAATTATGTACTGTTTTTTTTGCTTTTAATATTGTGTTTTAATGATGGAAGCCTCTTTGAGTCTTTTTTTAGGAGAAACACGGGGCAAAAATATTTTAAATAAATAAAAAGCTGTGACCAAAGTTTTGATTCCTCCAGAAGTCTTTGTCAGGCTTAATGTTGAACCAAACAAAACACCTTCTGTCTCTAACTGTTGTAACCCAGACATAAAATTAACATTGTGCTGGTGCCCAACTTCACAAAAGAATTTGAATTTCTTTCCTGCCTACTACCTTTCTACAGCCTTGCATCCTTTCCCACTCCTGCAGAAGAAGTTTTTAGAATAGAAGAGAAATTGCCCTTCCTGTTTCTTTTGACAGAACCAGGTCCATCTATACCTCATGAGATAGTAGCCATAGATTGCTGAATGAGTCACACAAACATGATTTATTGAAGTCGCAGCAGATAAAAGATAGCTATCTGGAGAGCTCAGTGGTTCAGGAGAGTTTGGAGAGGCAAAGGTTAGGAGTTTGATTCCCCACTGTGCAAGTAGAGCCAGCCTGTGTGGCCTTGGGCAAGCTGCACAATCCCAGGGGTGGCCCCAGAAGAAGGGAATAGTAAACCACTTCTAAGTATTTTCTACCTGGAAAACCCTGAAAAGTTATACCGAGTTATTCCCTGGCTTTGCTGGCACCCGTTGTTCCACAAGCACTTACACAACTGCAAGCAAAAAAACAAAACAAAACACCAGCTCCATTATTGCTTTTTCCCCTCTGGTGTTACCTTGGGTACAGCTTACACTAGGTACAATGGTGATATTTTATTCATCCTGATAAAGGCATAGCACAATCTTGAACTGGTTACAACCCTAAATGATTAACATTACCCTTTCAAAACCTTACCTTAGTGACATTTCTTCAACATATTGATTTTATGGAATAACATTTACTTACTAACATTCATGTTGCTTTTTATTCCTTAGATAATAAACAATTAAGAACAGTTTCCTACTCTCTGTCCCAAGAGAGACCTTCTTTAACAGGCTGGACAAGGCTTCCTCTCCAGCTGACGGGAAGAACAGTACCAGAGGGCCAAGATACAAACTACAGTATCTCTTTCTGTGATTTCACCATTGCAGGGGGAAAGGTAAGCTATTTCTGGCATTGGAGCACCACATGCCCTTGTAGACTTTCTGTTTAGAGAATAAAAAGCATTTCCTGTAGTCTTGGGTTTATGCATGAACAGGTTTAGGAGAAGTTATGTTTTGGATTATAACACCTGCAATCACCCATCTGGCGTGGCTACTGACCATTGTGCCTTGGCTGTGGAATTCTAAGAGCTGTCAACCAAAAAAAGTACATTTTCTATGCCTATCCTTGAATATGAGCATCAAGAAAGGAGCTAGCCACATGCTGTTTGTACATAGCACTTAAGTGCTCTCTTCACAGTAATAAGCATTTACACAGCTAGCCTAATCTTGTTCAGGAAAATCCCAGGGCAAAGTCCATTTGGAGTTGAACTGCTTTCTGCAGCAGGCAACGAACTGCATTTTTGAACGCTTTATTGGGTTGTTTTCTGCTTTTAGAAGGAAACATTCCAGTGTAGCTCCTTCCCATATATGCTAATTTTATACAGTGGTACCCTGCTTGACGATTACCCCACTCCATGACGAATCCGCTTTACAATGAGTTTTTTGTGCTTGCTATTGCAATTACAAAACAATGTTTAAATAGGGAAAATCCGCTTGACGATGATCAGTTCCCTGCTTCGGGAAATAGATTTTTTGCTTCATGACGATCAAAAACAGCTGATCATCGGGTTTTCAAAATGGCTCCCCACTGTGCAAAATGGCTCCCCGCTGTGTTCAGGACGGATTCTTCACTTTGCAGGCATTGGAAAATGGCTGCCCTATGGAGGATCTTCGCTGCACAATGAGGTATTTCACCCATTGGAACGCATTGACCGGTTTTCAATGCATTTCAATGGGTTTTTTACTTTTGCTTGATGACAATTTCGCTTAACAGCGATTTGAACAGAACGGATTATCGTCGTCAAGCAAGGCACCACTGTATATGGGTTGGGAGGATAGAAGGTTGTATCTGTAAGGAAGTGCTCTAAAATATGATTTCTCAACATCTGCAATTTGAAGTGGTACAGTCCTGGAAGGATTTGACCACTTGTTTTTCCAGTGTTACATAGTTGGGATCGCATAAGAATGCTTTCCTTGAACCTTATGGCTGTCGCTTGGAAGGCTACATATTAAGATGCCCCTTACAAATAAAAAGTCACTTGCACATAAAAGTCTTGCATAATAGATTATGGAATAATGTATTTTGTATCCTGCCCTTCCTCACAAAGGATTCAGGACAGCTAATAACTCACACAAGACATGGTCCAACACAATCTAGTAGCCTATGACATTTGGGGAAGTTTTTTTTTTAAGCTAATATTTTCGTTAAATTTTATGAAACAGGAAAGCAATTTCTAAAAAACTATATTCTTAACTATAAAATAACAATTATTAGTCGAAGTCCCTACCCTTTAAATTGTTTTTTTAATTATTTTTCCAAGCTCTGGAAAAAAATTGATGAGATGTGTGAAAAAGTCTACATTTTTTCAGATATAGAGAAAAATGCTAAAAGAGGAATGGCAAGAGCCCACACATAGCTCAGTGGCAGAATATGTGCTTTACACACAGAAAGTTGCAGGTACAGTCTCTAGTATCTCCAGTTAAATGTATCAGGTAATAAGTGATGGGAAGGACCTCTGCCTAGATGCTGAAAAGCCACTACTGGCTACAGAAGATGGTACTAGGCTAGAAAGACCCATAGGGAGACCTACAGTATGGTAGCTTCCTAAAGTAGCATTCCTTCTGTAATGTCTCAAAATCTGTGCATACAGTATTTGGATCCTCCACTTTTGAGCGGCCAGTTACTAGCTTTTTTATTTTCCTTTGCTGCTTCCAGAATGGCAATTCGAATGTTTGCCTACAAGACATATAGTTTTGTCTTAGCAGGGCAAGAAAAGTGACAGTAAAACCCACTCTCAGAGTTTAGAAATATGTCTGTCTCAGAATCCCCCAGCCAGTGTGGCCACCGGCCATGGTGGCTAGGAATTTGTGAGATTTGAAGTCTAAAAACAAAATCTTTCCAAATTCTGCCTACTCTGTAGGTATGGTTGGACCTACTGCTTGCTGGCTTGTCTTCTCAGAATCCTTTCGGAACTTCATATGGGGGAAGGTGCAGATGCAACTATGTCATTTGAAGCAGAACATCTGGAAGGGACAATGCAGTCAGCCAAGTTATGTGACTAAACACTGGCTTTTTGTCCCCCGTCTCTCACTTCCCTCTTCTGTGCTTGGTGATCTTGGATTCTGAATACTTATTTTGAAAAACGGTTTTGATAGGGACAATGCAGTCAGCCAAGTTATGTGACAAAACACTGGCTTTTTGTCCCCTGTCTCTCACTTCCCTCTTCTGTGCGTAGTGATCTTGGATTCTGAATACTTCTTATTTTGAAAAACGGTTTTGATGTGTTTTTCTCACTGTTTTCCTCCCTGTATGTGCAGTTACTGAAAAAACAATTCTTACAACAATACTACAAAAATGGTGTGAAGTTTCTTACCATGTTCCCAGATGGTACTGCACAAATATTGTATCCTTTTATGGCTCATCTTGTTCCGTTTCACTGTATTGGTGGTGAAGAGCATCAGTGACATTGCCAGCATTGAAGCAGAAAAAAGGTCTTTAGGACGACATGCAAACCTTAATTAGTGGTGGCTCTGATCCAGGAATGGCTAATTTGTGAATGTTCAAGAGATGTTCCCTCAAGCTTGGCCATTCAACCTTGGAGGGCCACAGCTTTGACATTCCTCCGGACACTTGAAAACTACGCCACAAAATAAGAGCCTTCAGAAACTTGTGAAGTTTGCCATTTGTATGTTACTTCCTCATGGGCTCTTTTGTTTTTGTTTTTTTAAATAGCTTATCCTGAACTAATATGGCCATTGGAGGGGGGGGAAATCACATTTCAGAGTCAAATTATTTCCCCAAAGGTTTTTGGGCATGTGATTGCCATTTTGTGGAGGTTAGGGGTTCAGGGATACAACCGATAGACTTGTGTTACCCACTTTTCTGCTGTAATCCATCACACCATTATATTGTTCTGGCCAATGACTTCCTTTTACTTATTTACTTCCTATTTTTATAACTTATTTTTTATTCTAAAAGTACACATGCACAAAAATCATAATTCACTCAAATCACCCACTTGCCCAATGAAGTGGCAAGTGAAGCAGTCATAGGAACCTTATCTATACACAGCTATCCATCTGGAAATCTGGCAATTATGGTTGTACAAAAGAACACGGATGCAGGGTACATTTGTATCGTTCAAGAAGACAAGCCTGAGAATGCTGAAATCCAAGCTGTGTTTGAGTCCTGTGGTAATAGTACTTGCTATCATCCAAATGGGAACGTATGGTAAGTTCATTTAACATAGAGGGTATGATTTTGTTTTGTTTTTTGGGTGTTTTTTTTTTTGTTCTCAGTTTCTAATGGATCATACATTCCATTGGAACACTGTTAGGTGATTAACTGAAATTGTAGGGAAGTTTAATCCTTCAGTCAGTTGATAAAATCTGTATGCATTTTCAATTCTTTTGAAGGCAGCACATATTTTATTTTAACTGATGCTCAGCTGTCACAGCAGCGGGGATCTTGGAAGCCATGTTCTCACCCATGCTGCAGAAAAGGAGAAATGCTGCTTCTGAGATGGTGCCTTTCTTTTTCAGTTTTCTGTTATTTGAAATAAATAAGGAGCAGGCCTATGTTGTTGTTTTAAAGGCTGTCTAAGTAATTGAAAATGATGTATTAGTCATTTAAATTGAACATCCGATTAGATCAGAGGTGGGGAATTTTTGGCCCACCAGATGTTTTCGGCTTCCAAGTCCTGTGGGCCTTTACCTTTGACATTGCTGGATGGGCTGATTGGAGATGGAAGTCCAAACATCTGAAAGGCTAAAAGTGTTCCACCTCTGAATCAGATACTGTCTCCCATAGTTTCAGTTCAGATAATGTTACAGTATATTATTTCAATAGTCATGCCTCAAAGCAGTTTGGAGAGCTTTAGTAAAACAATTCACTATGATTAGAATTGAAAGCGGTCAGTCCCAAAACCACACCTTCTGCACCCTTCTGTCCACTCTCTCCTCTTTCCCTTGGTACTGTATTCCCCTTATATACAGGTCTTTGGGGGAGGCGGGGATGTTATTTATAGCAACTGTTTTGAGAATGTTAATTGCTCATAAAATGTCACTGCTTGTTCTTTCTGCATTTCATTGTCTTCTGACCTTACTGTTTGTAACCTTTTCCTCCATGGGTATATACACCTATAATTCAGGATAGCCATGCATCTGATGACTACAGACCCTAAAGGTTTGTACCACAGTAAGATTCCAGAATACTATGAGGCGTTGTTATTTTTCTGCAAGACAATAATATAGTTATCACTGTCAAAATAATACTGTTGTTACATGTTTTCAAGTCATCTCGGACATATGGATGAGTGACCTCCAACATATCCTGTACTGAACAGCCCTGTTCAGCTCTTGTAAACGTACAGCTATGAATTCCTTTAGGGAGTCAATCTGTCTCATATTTGGTCTTCCTTATTTCCTGCTGCCTTCTACTCTTTCTAGCATTATTGTCTTTTGACGTAAGTCTTGCCTTCTCATGATGTGCCCAAAGTATGACAGCACCAGTTTCACAATTTTTGCTTCCAGAGAAAGGTCAGGCTTCATGTGACTTAGAACTCACTTGTTTGTCTTCCTGGTAGTGCAGGGTATCCACAAAGAACATTGCAGCCTTCTTTTTTCAGCTACGGAGACAGCAATCTTAGGAGTTGTGTTGAATGTTTGAGCAATCAAACAACATCCTCAATGAGGCATAGTGGGCAAACAAGGCAGCAGTGATTCTGTCAAAATCAGTCCCAATGTATTACTAGTTTTTTTCTCTCTCTTGGGTTTAGTGGTACCTGGATGTGATGAGGCTTACAGACCTGGGGAGTGGGTGGGAGTAGAATATACCCTTTGGAGCTCTTGTGAAGTTACTATTTTCCACATTCAGGATAAACATTACAATCCGAGGAGGCCATTATTCAGACCAAGCAGGCAACAAAGTGAAGGCATGGATCTGGCCAAACCACCTGCAGAAAAGCAACCCCAGCGTGTCGTTTAAACCGGTCTTTCTATCCTTGAACCAGAATGTCGGTGTTAGGATACTTGGACAAGACAAAATAGCCATTTCTTTTCTTGCAATGGGGAAACAAGCAAAAATCAACGTAGGAACAAAAGTAGAGGTACTTTATTTTATAGAGGTATTTTATCTTAAAGAAACTAAGATGAGAGTTTATCTATTCAGAGCAGGACAAGAAATAATGGGGCAGTTTTGTGGGTGGACAAGAAAGCCTTTTTGGGAAAAGGGGCAGTGGAGCAGCTAACTTCAAAATACTTGAAAATGAAATTAAACTTGTCACTGACTAACAGTCAAGACTGACTGGGTTTGTGCAAGTAGATGTTATGTTCCATCACATTACTTTTGATTTAGGGTGCCTCTAGAGAGGTTTTAAAGGTATGCAAGGAGTGGTTTTGTCACTGCCACTCTCCCCCAAATGAATCTCCATGGCTGAGCAAAGATTTTAATCCAGGTCTCCGGATTCTTACTCTGGTCCAATTCTGTATCCTCTACTACATCACCCTGGCTCTCATCCAGTTAAGTATCCATTAAATAATCTTGGGGAGTATCTAAAATCCACAGAGCACTTCAAAAGCATTTATATAAAATTTGGAAAATTAAGAGTTCTAGCTAATTGAAACAAATACTGTGTTTCTACTGGATATAGACACATGGGGCAAAGACATCCTTAGACAGAGAAAAATGTGTTCATTGAAAAGTAGATTTACATAAAATGAAATCTTCCAAGTTCAGAATCTCCTGATTAAAGCTAGCTTGATAGCTCAGTGAGTGGGGTTTCTGGCTGTGGAGCCAGAGGCTGGGAGTCAAATTCCCCATTGTGCATCCCAGAAGAGCCAGCCTATATAGTTTTGAGCTAGCTGCACAATCCTAGAGCGTCCCCAGAAGGGGATAGTAAACCACTTCTGAGTACTCTCTACCTATAAAGATTTGAAAAAGGTTTACATAAGTCTGAATTAACGACAGTACACAATTATTATTATGAATTATTAAATAGTTCAGCCACAGTACAAGGGTCTTTTGCAACTTTCCTCATAAATTGCTTCTCAGTTAAGATGGTCACATATAGTTATGGTATGGATGAATTCTTCTCTTGTAGCTGGTCCTGTCATCAACTCCACAACAGAAAACTTGTATTAGCATTTTAGTTTCAAAAATTAACAATGCAATTATATACATAGCTACTAAGAGAATGTATTCAGTGGAATGTATTCTTACAGATGTTCACACAGGGATGTGCACAAATTCCACACTGTATTTTATATAAGTGATTCATATGGGTATATGGGTAAAAGAGCAAGAATGCCAGTCTTTTTTAATGAGCAAAGACTTTAGGAAATACAAATTGTAAAGATTTTTTAAAAAACACCAGTTCAGAAGATGTTGTGGAATGCTGATCTTCTTGAGGTTTCACAAGGGTGATACACACATGCATGGAAGGAGATAATTTTTTAAAATATTCAAAACAAGATGATTTAAAAGAATAACCTGTGAATTGCAGAGCTAGAACGGACCCTATGGATCATCAATTCCAGCCCCTCTTAAGGAGCACAGTGGGAAATTGAATATTGCATTTTGGTGCTTTTGCAGTTTTTATGATGAATGGAACATGATACAGCCACTCTTATAAATTTATTTAATAAATATTTTTCTCAATTTTAAAAAGCCTAGTTTTGACACTGGGGGACAAAGACTGGGAAAGTGTCACATTTGTTGGGATATTGTTCTGGCTTCAGGTGACACTATCCTGTGCCTCATAAATAGGTACAGTGGTGCCTCGCTTAGCGAGTGCACCGTATAGCGATGTTTCCGTATAGCGATCCCTTTTTCGGGATCGCTATACGGAAACATACCCGATCTTCGCAATGGGGAAAACCCGCATTGCAAAGATCGGGTATTGTGGCGGCCATTTTGGAGTCGCCGAACAGCTGTTCGGTGGCTCCAAAATGGCCGCCGGAAGCCCGGAAATGGCTGCCAGCAGCCGTTTTCACGCCCTGCCCTCGCTTAGCGAGGGCGCGAAAATGGCTGCCGGCAAGGGGAATCCTCGCTGAACGGTTAAGTAAGCAAGGTATTGGAACGCATTAAACTAAGTTTAATGCGTTTCAATACGTTTTCCCTACCCGTTTAGCGACGATTCCGCATAGCGAGGGTTAATCCAGAATGGATTAACCTTGCTATGCGGGGCACCACTGTACATACTTATAATCATAGTTGTGTTATATTCTATAATATTACCGCCTTTGTAGTCTCCATGGTTTTCAAATGATAAGTATCTATGGGAACTGTCACAAGTCCTGGTTCTCTCATGAATGTAATGTTATGATACAAGACTTAAATATTTTAGATGTACACTTAATGTATGAAGTAACCCTTCATTTACACATTCTTGTTCCAATGACTTGCAGATGTGCAGAGACAAAAACTTAAAACCTTTCATCTCTTAAGAGGAATGAGAATTGCATGAATAAAAATCAACAACTAGTTTTTAAACTAATGTTTACCTTTGTTTAGGGCAGGGATGGGCAGCTTGGAAACATTTCCCTGATAAGAGAGTAATATTTTGGCGGTGGCGCATTGCATGCCAGATATAGATGGTGCAGAAGCCAGGATATAGATGGAGTGATAACCAAATGTAGACAAGGCCTCTCCCATTCTCACTGGCCTTCACCGTTTGTTTGTCTCCCAGATCATGCAATTCCCCAACCTGCTTTTCAGTTTGCCCAGCAGGCTTTCAAAATAAGATATTGCTTTTGCCAGGAGGGATTAATTGCTAGAAGATAAGCTTTTGAAAATTACATATGCGGGGCTAGAGATTGCCCACTCCTGGTTTCAGAAACACTGCTGTATCTATGGGAAGCTTGACTATCAGAATTGCTGATCTCTAGGGCTAAATCCAATGTTAGTCACAATCACAATAAACTTACTGAAACGAGTAAGACTTCTTAGTTCCCATTAACGTAAGTCCCATTGATTTAATTGGCTCTGCTTAGTTGTAACTAATATTGGATTTAATCATCTTCCCTCTTCATTTAAATCAGTATCTACCATTTTTATTCTTATGCAAGTCATTGAATTTCTACCAGTTAATTTCTAACTGCAATTCATGCAAATCACTAAATTTCTACTGCTTTTTCTTTCCTTAAAGCCCCTTGCTGATCACCATCCATGGCCAAAGTACGTATCTGAAGACGATCTTCTGCTTTTTGCTAGCAGAATAAAGATTCTCCGTATCTTTGCTAAACTACATGGCTATTTAGACTTTCCCACTAATGACTGGTGGACAAAACTCCAGCTTCCTTCATATGTTCTGAAACGGGCTTTGAAATTAATACACCTCTGCAAGGAGTGTGAAGTAAGCTCTGCTCTGGACACTTTAATCACAGAAATAATAAATTCACCAGACTGACCATCATTATGTTACAAGCAGAGAGTTGTCTAATTGTTGTTAAGGCATAGCTACAATAGAATTCAGAGCTTGAGAACAACAAGATACAAGTAACTTACAGTACTTTTCATCAGTTATTTGGTGGCAGGGGTAGTGGTGCAACTGAGGCATTATAAAGCCATGTTTCAGATGAAACACTGGAAGGAATAACGTTTTCTCATTGGGTTTTGTCCAAAGGATCTTGGAGGCTAGTTGGATGCAACACAACATCATTGTTTAGAGCTGCTGCATTCAAAGTCAAAATAGCTATAGTGACATCCAGTTTCTGATGGAAGAACAAGAAGCATCAGCTCATTTTTGAAGTTATGCATGTTGACAGGAATTTTTCAAGTGTTATGCCATTCTCTTATCAGTCATCAGCCCCACCCAGCAAAATAATCAAAAGTAACAAAGTAATAAAAAAATGCAACAAACTGCTTTTGATATTGTAACCAATAATGGCAATAAGTTACTTTCCTAACACTATAGAAGTAAAATGAATGAATTATTTCAACAAAATAACTTTCTAAGCTCTGGTTAAATTATACATATTCAGGTGTTGTGATGGACATGGAGCTTCGTCTGTGCCTGGCATAGAACAGTTAGTAAAATACCTGAGATCTTTTTGGGTCATCAATAATATATTCAGTTATAATCTGTTTCAAATTTCATCCAAAAGACAGCTGTTTTCAGCTACAGCCAAGCGGTGTAAACAAAACAGACCTCATCTAAAAGACCTCTACTGGGCAAGCTTGGCTACTGAAAAGCCCCTCTTCTATATGTGCATAGACTGCATTTCAGATAGAATGGAAAGTAATACTGTACCTGAAAATAATTCAAGAGCTCAGTTCAAAAGACTGTCATTCCCTTCTAGAAGCACTGCACTGCAAACTTGCTAATATGCAGAGTGACCCAACAGTCCTTTTAGGACCACAAATGACACTAATTTCTAACATTTTAATTTGTTTTTTTTATTTTTACCAATATTTCATATGCATCCATATTTTTAAATGGCACACTCTGATATGAATAAAGAAAGATCCAATATATTCCCTACCCATTTTAAATACATCAAATATTATCTCCATACTTCAAATTAAAAATACCTTGTAAAGTTAAGGGAAGCCAGTGTCGAATATACCCATGGAACTGACAGGTGATTGAGGCTGAGAGGACACTAGCTGGCCCAAAGGCTATTCAATGAGTTCAAAACAGGTATGATCTCACCAATAGACTTTCCAGCTGAAGGTGATGTTCTGGTTATTTGCCACACTGAACGTAATAGCAGTCAGATGTATGCAGATATATGACAATCTGCTGCAGAGGAGGAAAAGTATGTGGCACTGCCCCACACAAGCTCTGTATTTCAAAATTCACTTTCTTGTTAGTAGTAAGTTATGGCATGTAAAATCACCTTCTGTAAGTAAAGGCTTGTTCATTCCTAATGGATGGGGACATGTTCAGAACTTTCCATTTACAATTAGAAATGCTCTCACAACATAGGTTTATACTTCTGTTGAGACCACTGTTTTGAACATACGCAGATTTTTGTCAGCATCTCAGAATATTATTTAGGAATAATTTCAGAAACAAAACTAAGGCTTCAACTCCCCCATTTTTAGGTCAGAGGTGGAGAGTCTTTAGCTCTCCAGATCTTTTGGAATGCAGTTTCAGTGATCCCTTATCTCCCCCCCCCCCACCATGGAGTGCAGGCCAATTATCTAGAGAGCAAAATTTCTCCTACCTTTGCTGTGCAGTCTCCAAAGATATGTCTTAATCAGTTGATAAGAATATTTTATCAAAGATAATGAACAGAACATTCTTTAAATGATGTTCAGAACACATGCAGTAAAATGCTTTAAAAAAAAAAAGGATTTCCAAAAAGCATACAGGAAACAGAAATATATGAAGATTCATTGCAGTTCAGGTTTCAAACTGTTCATTCTGTAAATACATATTCATCGATAATTATGTGTTACTTTATTCACTTTTAGTGATCTTTGCATCACTAAATTATGTCTGACTTTCTGGTAGGGCTGGAGATGAAAAAACAACCCACACCTAGGTTCAGAAAGCTTAGTAACACAATTGCAACTTCTCGATTACCTCTTCACTGATTATGAGTGCAGCATAATGTTTCAACATGTTTCAGGCAGAGTCTTGTCTCTTTTACTTTGCATCAGGAAACAGAGAACACTGTTTTGCAATCAAAAGAGCTATTAAAAGAAGGCAAGTTAGAGATTTGCTCACCAGATGAATTTTGTCTCATGGATCTTCCAGAGGTTAAATCACTCTGGCTTCCAATGTTGAAATGGACGACTGCCAGAGCAATGGATCTGTAAGGCTTTATTTGTTCTCTTTCCTTACATTTCATTAACTTGATAAACTGGGTTCTTATATCCTTGCTGTATAGTGAATAGATAAAAGGATTGATCAGAGAATTGGTTTCTCCTAAAACAAACAAGAAATCTCTCAGCACTGGGTTTATGTTGCATGAGTTACAGGCGGCTTTCACAATGGCAGTCACGTAGTAAGGTCCCCAGAATAGAATAAAGCAGATGATCACAATAAGGACTGTCCTGAGAGCTTTGAAATGGCGGAGATGAGCAATGAAAGTGTCTTCACGCAAGTAGATGCGTTGGATTTGCTTGTGTTGCAGATAGGCTATTCTTCCCACTGAGAGATGCAAGGAGCACAAGATCAACAAAGCAGGAACAAAGATGCCAAAACAGATTATGTATAGGTAGTCACTCTTGGCAGCAGTCAGGACTCCACAAGGACCTGCATAATTGCTTTGCTGCAGTTGCGAGGAAATAACTGCCATGTGTCCTACTAAGAAGGAAATAATCCACAAGACGACGAGAGAGATGATGATGGGTTTCTTGCTCATGAGAGTGGGGTAATGTAGGGGTAACTTCACTGCCAAATACCTGTCCAAAGAAACCAAGAGCAAAGTGAGAATGGAGCCAATGCAAGGAGTAATGCTCAAGGAGATACGCAACAGGCAAAGGAGCAGGTTGGTGTCAAACAGAGCATCTGTTGCATCATCCAAAGCATCCCCAATGCACATAATGCCAACTAGGAGATCAGCAGCTGCCAAGTTGAGGATGAAGACATAGTTCCTGCTTGGTCTCTTTTTCTTCAACTGACAGATAACAATAATCACTAGCAGGTTGGCAGACGGGATGAAGACACCTAAGGCAGCATGCAGCACTGTAGACACTAGAGCAGGCATCTTCTTTAGGAAACTGTGATGGAAACATTGGGTTTTAAGATCTACTTTGCAGATACATATTATACTGCACCCACAAGATGCAACATCAAGGCAGGCATAAACATGCACCTCAGATTTCTGAAAACAGAGCAGGAAAAATAAAGTATCTGATGGGTAGACGCCTTTTTTGTGTTGTTGGACGATTTTCTATAAATTGAAGCAAACTGTCCACAGGAGCACTGCTGATGTCTTTTTAGCTACCAGCTTCCCATTTCCTTTGGTTAATACAGGTGGTTCTTCTTAATCTGATGTGTTTGAAGATGCTCTGAGGACCAAAGTCCTGCCGGATCAAAGCTTCAGGCAAAATGAATTCAGTGACTAAGATAATGGGAGGAAACATCTAGGGAGGGAGTCTTGTTCAGTCGATTCATGGAATTCTCTTTTGACGCAGAAAGATAAGGAAGTAGTTTGGCAAACACAAGAGATACACTGTAACTCCAGACCTGGTAGGCATGTAAAATCAGTCCATGCGTAAAAAGCATTTGCTTTGTCCATGTGAGAAAATGATCCTGTGTGTTGCTGCTATTAATATATACAACACATCATTAAGATACTGATTATTTGAGCCTGAAAAAAATGTCTTGTGTTCCATCTGGCTAAGTGGATGGTGGCTTTCAAACTGGAAGCTCAGGGTTTAAACAAAGAAAATCTCAACAGAGCCTAGGCTTTGCAATACTGCTTGTCTTTGAAAGATTCATTAACCAAGTAGCTGAGGGCTCAGCATTTTCTACAATTTAGGCTTTTAAATTAGAATATACTTCCAGAAATCAACCATCTCCCAACATTTCTCCTAATCAAGGCAGGAATACTAAATGGGGCAGTGCGGTTTCTATAGTAGGAAATATCCCATATGCTCAATTTTCATATGCTGCAAAGACCACATTGTTATTATTTTCAAAAAGAACAATGCTAACTTTCATAGGTCACAATTTCTCATATATACAGAAGCTCATTTTGGAAGGTAGAAAACTTGCTGAAGAGACCATTACTTTTAATTTACTGAGCAAATCAAGAACATAACACAGGGCTATCCACCTATCCTCTTGGTCATTACTTGCCTATCAATTTCAAAAAATGAAAAATAACATTAAAAAAAGAATATTGCAGGTATCAGTCAATTCCCTTCATCTAACAAAATGGAGAACTAGATATGCTGTATATAAGAAATTGATTTTTTCCAGATACACAAAAATGTGATTGGTATAGTTACAAAAACCATTAAAAGGCAATATAGGAGTTGGTTCTCAGTGCTTCCATATGGTAAAATGGTATAGGAAATCTACATCAAGTAATGATTGTATGGTTGAATAGATATTTCTGGAGCTCATCCATAGGATCTTAATGCACTCACAATTAAGATGATCTGCAAGTATGAATAATTTTAAGAAGTCTCATTCCATTTTGAGAAACAGTATGAGGATTTTAATCATTCAGGCCCAGTTTCCAGCCTGGACAATTAAAGTAACCATACCAGCCAGGATGCAATTTCATATACTGCAGGGCTTTGAAAAGGGTAAGTTGCTTTGGCGATAGCTGCTAAGGGTGCTGGCTATTTAGGGACCACTAGAAGGCCGTGTCAGACAATAATCCTTTTTGAAACAGTAGTTTACTCTTGATCGGATTAAAAATATTTCATTGAAGAGATCTATAAATACTCAACTGAATATGCACTGGCTAGTTGTAGAATTAACATTAGTATTTTCTTTAGGTGACAGTTTTGTTTTGTTTTTTAGCTGGCAAGGAGATGGAATTATTTGGGCAGAACTTCCTTGCTTGATGCAAACATACATGCTTAGGTAGGGGAAAGCTTTGAGAGAAAGTCATGACCTGAAACACAGTGCTGGCTTGCACAATATATTCTGTATCGGTGGACAGAAAAGGCAATTCAGGTAAGACAGAAGTTTAGAAGAGTGGATATAGTTTAGTCGTTTAGTCGTGTCCGACTCTTCGTGACCCCATGGATATAGTATACAACTCCCAAATATACCAATACATAGTACAATGAAGTTTCAGAGTCACTGTTCCATTACTACCTGGTAACAACATAGCTCAAATTAGAACCAAAAGGAATGTAAAGCAGCATAGAGTTCCAAAGAAATACACACTTCAGGGAGAAGAACGCTTTAAATCAAAGCCACACTAGTTACTAAACCTCAGTTTTCTTGCTACCTTTAATGAAAGTAAACAGCAAGATCAAAATTGGGAGAAAATAACTGATAACTTGCAAAACCAAAACAGGAACAAACAACTAGACACTACTTCACTTCATTTTCTGCCAAGCAACCTATGGACTTTAGCTGATCAAAGAAAATTAACAATCAGTTTCCCAGAACAAAGTGCTCTGTGAAGAAGGGAAATAGACACAAAAAACCTGAGTCATGACAAATTCGAAACATAAAAGTACAGATGTACTTGACTCTGCTATATTTAGCTAACTACACAGAACTACTTTAACTGAAGCTTGCTCCAATACATGGTCAATTTGTCTTCTCTCCAAACAATCTATCTGCTAAGTTCACATTTATTGCAGATTCTGATTTTATGTTGACTGTTATAAAATAGATATCACTAGTGACTTCTCATTAATGGCTACCATAACAGTTCTAGCAATAGCTCAGCAAACACAGTTTTAAAAGCATTTGTACCTTTCAGATGTTTCTAAGCAATTTACACAACACCATTTGCCAAGCTTTTAGGGCCTTTAGGATAACCATTTGTGACCCTGAGAAGGACCTGGTAATGCAAGTTTAATAGGTGAAATGTGCGTACTGCCAATTGTCACTAAGGAGCTATCCAGATTCAATACCCTGCCTTTAGTTTTTCTGCAGTGGAAGAAGTGGCTCTATTATGTCAACCTCATATATTAGAAATCTCCCAAGCAAAGCAGGGTTTGTAAGGTTCAGGAAACAGCACCCTGAAAAGTAAAGAATTGAATAAAGAAAATAAAACTCATATTTTGAGTACAAAATTCACAATATATTTCAAGTCACACTATTTAACTACTTTGACAGTCCAAAACTGCTGAGGAAGAACACACACAAAAAGTCATTTATAGGGTGAAAAGCAGCATATAAATAAAAAAGTGGGGTTACTTACCTGTAACCAGGGTTCTTCAAGTGGTCATTCTGTGAATTCACACATAAAGGGTTAAGTCAGCGCCAGTGTCGGTCCCTTTCGGAATCTTCTAGAGCTCTGCAAAGGAAACATAGTTAAACATTACCTACACTGCGCATGCTCCGCCCGCCCAAACCTCAGTTCCATTTATCCGCCACAAAAAGAGTGGGTTCGCTAAGAACAGTGACGGAAGTGGGGAGGCAGGGCGGGCATGTGTGAATTCACAGAATGACCACTTGAAGAACCCTGGTTACAGGTAAGTAACCCCACTTTCTTCATCGTGGTCTTCTGTGAATACACACATAAAGGGTGACTAGCAAGCTAACTCCCCGGCAGGAGGGCCGTCACTGTAGGGCGGAAGCCAACACAGCTCTCCCAAACCTGGTTTCTTTCTTTGCTCTCATGTCCAGCCGGTAGTGTGTAATAAAAGTAGACGGCTGAGACCAGGTGGCAGTGCGGCAAATATCGGGGAGATCAATGCCATGAAGAAGAGCAGTAGATGACGCAACAGCCCTTGTTGAGTGAGCACGTAGGTGTTCAGGAGGTGTCAAGTGATGAAGCTGATATGCTAAAGAGATTGTAGACACAAGCCACTGAGACAGTGACGACGGGGAAGCTGGAAGTCCCTTCTTGTGTCCAAAGTAGCAGAGAAAAAGCCTGGAAGAAGAACGAAAGTCCTTGGTCCTGGAAACATA